GGCTTTTTCACTTTATAACAGACAACAAAATAAATTCCTAGTGAATTAAAGAGTTAAAAATTTTGAAACTTAAAACAACAACAACTAAAACTCAGAAGGAAATCCTTGTGAATATTTGCCAGATTTCCGCCTGGGAAGCAGCAGACTGCAAGTCTGAGTACACAAAGCTGTAAACACAATAAAATTAAAGACAAACAATACAAGGCCGAAAAGAGTTGCTGCAAATACCATCCTGAATGATATCCCTAACACGAGGGGGCTTCGAAAATTCATAAACGAAAATTCCATTATCTTGTCATTCCATTTTTCCACAAACTTTCTGCAGCCCCTTCTTACATGAAGAGCTCTTAGGAATCCATTAAAAAACACTGAGCCCCCAGGAGTGAAAGTGAACATGATCACAGATGAATAATTCAAATCTGCAAAAGACCTCTTTAAGGCGTTCAAGAGCAAAGATATCCTTTTGAAGACTAAGGTATGCCTGACCCAAGCCATGGTATTTTCAATCGCCGCATATGTATTCACTTAAGAGGGACAATGAGTAAGAAAGACCCCATTGATGCATTTGAATGATGGTGTTGGAGAAGACTATTGAAGAACAAACACATCTGTCTTGGAAAAAGTTCAGCCAGAATGTTATTTACAAATTAGGATGGTGGGACTTCATCTCTTATAGTTTGGATGCGTTGTCAGGAGGGCCAGTTCCTTGGAGAAAGACATCATGCTTGATAAAGTGAAGGGTCAGGGAAAAAGCGGAAGACCCTCGATGAGATGGATTGGCGCAGTGGAGAAAGATATCATGCTTAGTAAAGTGGACTCAGATACAGCAACTTTGAGGATGGCGCAGGGCTGGACAGTGTTTTGTTCGATTGTGCACTGGGTTGTCATGAGGCGGAACCGACCTGACTGCACCTAGCAACAACAACAGTGATTCCAAAGCCTGTGCAGGGGCTCTTGCTTTACTGTATTCCACTTTACGGCGCTGTGAATTTTACAAGTAGGAGGTTTGTGGCAACCCTGCGTCAAACAAATATCGGTGCCATTTTTGCCAACAGTGTGTGTTAATTTTATTTCTCTGTGCAATTCCTGTAACATTTCAAGGTTTTAAAAAATAATTCTATTGCCCAATAGGCTACTAAACCTGTCCACTGCTCCTGAGTCAATTCTGATGTATCTAGAACCTGTACAGGGTTTCTGAGGCTGTAAATCTTTATGGGAGCAGCTGGGGGTGGGTGTTGAACTGACAACCTTGTGATTAGCTACAGTGCCACTAGGGCTCCATCTGTAGACAATGACAATCCAGTGTCAACCTCATGCTTCTATAGCTGGGGAGACCAAGCAATGACTGTGACTTGCTTCATCTCTTTGTTGCAGTGGTCTGGGATAGACCCCACTGTGTCTCCAAGTCTGCCTGTTTGCTAAGATCCTAGAGCAATGATTTCCCATCTAATTAAGTAGGAGAGATCGGACAGCGAGGAGCAGGCCATACTGCCCAGGTACCAGGAGACCTGTATTCTCTGCTGCCCAATGCTCATTAGTTGTGGCTTTTCTAAAGTGCAAGATATCTATGTCCTTTGAATCAGAAATTCTGCTTCTGGCACCTTCTGTGGGGAAGCAGAGAAGTTGCAACAGACTTCTAATCATGTTCATAGCAGCTTTGCTTCTAACAGTGAGGCACTAGATCCAGTGTCTTCGCCAAAGTAAGGTGGTAATTAGGTAAGTGATGATGTAAAACAGTAATCATCTCATAGGCTGGTGGGATAGGCACTTTCTACCACCAGTAAGAAACTGGTCGAGGACTTGCATAGACGTGTCTCTGTAGGATTCACACAGATGGCTGGCAGACATCATCAACTGTTAGATGAGTTGCTAATTCTGTTTCACAGTCATCATCCATGTGTGCCAGAGCAGGATGGCACACCTACTGAAGTCGTTTTCAGAAGTAGATTGCCAGGTCTTTCTTCCTAGCTGCTGTTGTTTGTTACCTTGGAGTGGATTGTAATTCATAGGCATTAAAAAAGAACAACAATGCTGCTTCTGCCAAGTCAATTCTGACTTACAGTAACCTGGTAGGACAGAGTACAACTGCCTGATAGGGTTTCCTAGGCTGCCAGGTCTGTAGCTCCCATCTTGGGTGGTGCCAATCCATGTTAATCAAGGTCTCCTCTTTTTCACTGACTCTCCACGTTACCAAGTATGATGTTCTTCTCCAGGGACTGGTCCCTCCTGATAATATGTCTGAAGTATGAGGCATGAAGTCTGGCCATCCTGGCTTCTGGCTGTACTTTTCTGACACAAGTTTTAGAAGGGGGACACAATTTAATACATGACAGTAAGTACTGAGTTTCTGTTTGTGGTGAGGAAGGAAGTTGAAATGCATGGCAGTGGTGGTTGGCAGGTAAGTCAGTTTGGATTCTAGGCATCAGCCATGGTGGTTTTTACTAGGGGAGAATCAGCTTCAGGCCTCGCTCCCAGCATCCGGGGCCTCTTGGCATTCCTTGACTTCTGACAACTTTGCTTCAATTGCTGCCTCTGTCCGTCTGTCCATGGCTATACTTCCTATCTGTTCTTCTAAGGAGGCCTGTTACTGAAATGTAGGGTTCACTTCATCTAGCATCCTTAAACATTTACATTTGCAAAAAACGTGTTTTCAGGTAAGGTTGGACTCTGAGGTTCTGGGTGGACTTGGATTTTGCCACTTCATCTGCACTGGGTTCCCACAGCAACCCCACTCTTCCCAGCTCAGCACCCCTCCAGAATACAGGCCTGCCTCGTTTTATCACTTCATTGTGCCTTGTAGAGATTGTGTTTTCCACGGATGGAAGGTCTGTGGCCATCCAGCATCGAGTTGGGCCCCGGGCCCCATTTCTCCAGCTGTACGTGCCTATTTCCTGTCCCTGTGCCACACTGCAGTCATTCTCCCAGTATTTCTAACTTTTTCATCATGCTTATCCTTGTGTGGCACTGTAGGATCAGCACTGGACTGTGAACCACAATATCAGCAGTTTAAACTCACCAGCCGCTCCTCAGAAACCCTATACAAGGTTGCTATGAGTCAGAGTCTACTCGATGGCCCTTAACAACAATAACATGGTACACTCCATTGACTACCAAACCAAAATCAAACCTGTGGCCACCGAATTAATCCCAACTCAGTGACCCAATGACCAGTTAGCAGTGCCTAACTGATGGCCCAAACAGGCTCCTTAGTCAACGGCAGTCTAGTGCCAACAGCCCCTTTCTATGAGCTGGGAAACCAGAGAATTCGAGACTTGCTTGTTGACCAATGTTCCACCAAGGAGGTCTGGGACTGAACCTGCAGTTTCTCTGAGGTCTGTACAACGCTCTGTACTGTACCTGAGGTGGGTGCTGCAGACCTGGCCTCACATGGCGACCCCCAGTCTCAGATGTGCTCAGTTCCTCTCTCAGATTAGGTGTTGGTTACTTGGCCCTGGTCCCCGCCCAGGGTGCTGGATGATTCCTGTACCCTAAGCCTTATTCCCCGTATCCACTCTGACCACAGAGTGCTGCCTGCCTCCACCTGCTAGGGCTCAGACCACCTAACCAGCTGCTCCTGAAACCCCCAGGACGTCCCCCTCACCCTTTTCAGTCAAAAAGGAGCCTGGTGCCAGCACTTCACCCTGAGAATTCCATCTGGCTGCAGTTCCAGGGACAGTTTCCCCAAAGTTCTGCCTCTGTGTCTGCCTCAGTGGACCCTGGCAGCCAGGTCCACCCTCAGCCTGGACATCCACCCACAGGTTCTGAACCACCACCTGGACCAGGTGTCTGTGTAAGCAAGGAGCAGACACAGCAGGCTTCAGGAGTCTCGTCTCCGACCTGCCTGCATTCAAGTCCTTTTGGAACATTGTCAGACAATGCTTCGGCCTTTAAGAGTGACCGCTCCACACTGCAAGAGGCCAGGTGATGCTGGACAGCTGGTACCTTCCAGGCCAGCTCTGTCCTTGGAGCAAAGCCCGAGTATCCAGGTCTGTGGCACCACCCACCTCAGTCTTTGCAGCAGTAATGAGAAGGAGCACAGGGCTATGAAGGGGGCTCAGAGAATTCCCAGAAAAAGGGCAGTGTAGGGGTTTGCGGACAGAAACTCCAAGCAAAAGGGGTGCTGAGGCTCAGGACTGAGAGCGAGGTGAGAGGTACCACCGAATCTCCCTGTCACTGAGCGGTTCTCTGTAATGAACTGACGAGCCACAGCTTAGCTGCACGTGATCCACTGTGGCTTCATGAGACCAGAAGAGGCTGTGTTACCAGGCTGTCAGCCAGGCCACTGCCCACACGATGGCAGCTGAGTTAGTGACTGAGCTCAGGGCATCCGTACCATACAAGCTGCGGCTGGTGGTGTTGTTGTTAGGTACAGTCGAGTCCGTTCTGACTCGGAGCAACCCGTGGAGAACAGAATGAAGTACTGCCTGGCCCTACATCATCTGCAAAATTATTGCCACGCTTGAGCCTGCTGCTGCTGCCCCCATGCTGATCCAGCTCATTGGGGGGTCTCCCTCTTTCTCATGAGTAAGGAGTGATAAAGATGATGACTTCAGATACTAAATAAACCAAAGCTAGACTCAGCCATTCACTTGTTAGCTGCCACCAAGCGGGGCTCTGACTCATGGTGACTCTGTTCACAGGAACGAAGCATGGTCCTGTGCCATCCCTGTGGTCAGCTACAGATAAACCCGCAGAGTTTTCACGGGGTGATTTTTGGAAGCAGGTAGCCAGGCCTTTCTTCCTGGTTCTTCTTAGCCTGGAGGTGCCACTAAAATCTGTTCTGCATCAAAGTAGCAACTTGGGTGGTGGCTGCCTGTGAGGTGCACCAGCCCAGAATTGAACCCTGGTCTCCCGCATGGAGGCAAAAGCTTTACCACTGAACCACTGCCACTCTTTCCTGTTAGCAACTTAGAGCTCGCGACCCAGCCCTGCTCTCCTGGCACCAATTCCAAGGGGACACCGTGTGACTCCAGGCCTGGCCTCTCCTGCCCCGGGCTTACCGGCCTCACCCACGAAGACCTCCACAGGCGCGCTGGCCGGGCTCTCGCCTATGATGTTGTAGGCGGTCAGGATCACCTCATAGCGTCTGTATTTCTTCAGATCTGCAGGGTCGGAGGAGACAGGCATTAGTGTGCACAGGCTGCCTCCCAAATACTCTGAACGTCTCCCTTGTAAGCAGGTCCAGGGACAGGCTTCCTTGTGCTTGCTTACTAACCTGTAGTGATGTTGTTGACCTGGTGAAACCCAGATGCAGTTGTTCACTACAGATCAGTAAGTACACACAAGGAGCCCTGTGCATGCCTCACTTACTGTAAACTGATGTGTACCATGCTTATCTGCCCCTGAACATGCCCACCGAGGAGTCATTGAACCCTGGGGGGGGAACCAGGAGGTAATTAGATCCTTTCAGAGACGTCTGGACCATGCCCACCACCCCAACATGGGACAGTCACTGTGTCCTCTCCAGAGGGTTAAGAGCTGGGCTGCTAATCACAAGCAAGGTCAGGGGTTCAAACCCAACAGCCACTATGTGGGAGAAAGATGAAGCTCTCTACTCTCAATAAAATTATAGTCTTGAGACCCTGTTGTTGTTGTTAAGTATCAATGAGTTGGTTCCAACACAGTGACCACGTACAGGGTTTCTAAGGAGTTTTTCCTACAGCGCCAGGCCAACACTCCACAGAAACTGTTTACAGGCTCCCTGTGAGTCACAATCGACTTGATGGCACTGGGGTTGTTCATTGGTGGTTAGCCCGGAAGCTCTCCTTAAAAGTAAGAACATCCAGCCCTTGAAAACATGATGCTAAGTGAAGAAAGTTGATTATAAAAAGACAAGTATTGCAGGATCCCGCTTATGTGAAAAATCTAGAATAGGTAAGTGCACAGGGACCACAGTGGATTAATGGTCACCAGAGGCTGGAGGGAGGTGAGAGGCACTGGCATGTGCTAAAGGAGATGAGAAATTTGGTGAGGCTCATTGCTGCCTAATAGATTCCATTAACGTAATCAGTGTCACTGAACTGTACGTGCAAAAATGTCACATTGGCAGATGCTACATTATGTGCATTCACATCACAGTAAAACATTTAAATAAATGTAAAAAAAAAAAAAAATCAAGAATTCTATTTCAAGCCATTGAGGAATAGGTAGCTAGTTCGTAACTGGTATTGAGTCATAGGGTTTATCCATATGAGGGGAAAAACAAAAACAGTAAAACAGCATTAAGACTCTTTATGGAAGTAAATTTTATCTATTTATATAAATTCACCTCTTATTGGTCACTGGGTCATATTGCTTTCTGGGGTGTAAAGAGACATGTACCCATAGAGGCAGAAGGAGAGTCAGGAACAGGAGTGGGAGATGGACTGTCTGGCTCACTGCCTCCTCTGTCAGGAGCCCAGAACTAGATGGCACTCAGCTACCATGCTTGGACAGTTTGATCAAAGATTCCATAGTAGAATCCTGATCAAAAGGAGAAAAATGCAGAACAGAATTTCAAATTTTCATGGACTCTAGACTTTCTGGAGCCATGGAGAGTGGATAACCCCCACAAACTATTATCCTGAGATAGTGTTTAAAACTTGAACCAAAAATATCACCTGAGTTAAAGCCCAACAATAGTTTAGCTTAGCTAATAAAGACTGTCTTCCTTGAGCATTAGTATGCGTTTTAAAGAATATCTGTGTGTGATCAAACTGACAACAGCAATGAGGGTACAGGGAGCTTAGGGACAGTGAGTTTGTGTCCATGAGGGAGGAACAAGTCAGAAAAGGAGGGTGAGAAGGTGGTACAACTCAGAGAAGGTCATCCACATCACTGAATGGTGCATGGAGAAACAGTTCAATGGATGCATGCTTTGCTGTGCATATTCTTAACAACAACAACAAAAATAAATCACTGAAAATTAACACATATACCAAGGGGCTTCAAAAAGCATGTGGGGAAATTCTATTATCTTTTAATTTTTCTAAGAACTTTTTGAAGCCCAGTCATATAAAATATTGGCTGTAGAGGTGAGAAAGTGGAAATAATCAAATATTTGTAAATGACCTACGCTTAAGAAAATGCTGGACCAGAGAATACCATGCAGTAGTCAATAAAATAAAATAAAAAGGGAGTGGGTACCAGCATTGACAGATACGCAAGAATACTGTGAAATAAAAAATGGCAACTTCGTTCACACAGAAAGAGAAGTAGCAGTGCGGAGAAATGCAATTTTAATGAAAGCTGAATGCCCATCATGAGGGCAAAATGAAAAAAAAAACTTACTAATACTGATGTGTTCTTTATTTAAAATTTGGATGTGTTTTGTGCATAGGGATATTTTTTTCTCATTAATTTGGACTTTTCAAGTATTGCATTAAAATATTCTTTAACTTGGGGGAAGAGAGAGGAAAAAAGTCAGAACAGATGGAGTTAGGGCCCCCGGCAGCATTAAAGGAAAAAAAGGCATTAATAAAGCAAAACATTTGCTTTTTAAATGAAATACCCTGGGAAGAAAAGAATGGGCCAGGGGTGGGGGCTTGTAGAAAGAATCACACAGGAAGGGGGCTCAAGCGTGTGTCTCTATTCACAGGATCTTGAAAGAGTAAACTGGCCCTCAATCCGAACATTCTGAAAGCACACCCACCGGTCCACACTGCCTCATCTGAGCCTGGGCTTTTTTGCAGACCCTTTCAACTTCTCCCCTCCCATTGAGCTGTTGCTCAGTGAGGGTCAGTGAACTTGAACTTGCTCACAGACCCCTGTGCTCCAAGCTTCAAAGACCTGTTTACAAGGAGTTGTCCACGGATCTCAGTCAGGCCTCTGGCCGAGCGGACTCTCCCAGATGACAGCTGACAGGGGTGTGTCTGTACACAGCTCACACCCAGGGCTCCCGGGGTCCTGCCCCTCTTCCATTTTCCACCATCTGGAGTTCCAGTATTTTAAGATGTAGCTAATGAGCCGTCAGTAGGATCGGCCAGCCTGTTAGCTCTTTAACTTGTTTTTTTTCTTGAAGAGTGGTCCTTTTGGGGGTACCTGGCATGCAGCCACAGAGAGTAAGTAGTTGGGGAATAGGATAAGTGGGTATCATGGACTGAATTGTGTCCTCCTTAAAAAAAAAAGTGTTCCCCTTTCCAAGACTAAAACTCAATGGGAATACATTCTCTGATTGGTGACGATGTTCATCACCGATAAGGGGAAGTGAGGAAAAACAGCAACGAAGCTGTGAGCTAAGCCCAACAACGTTCAATAGACTCCTGTGAACCGGGTGAAGACCTGGTTGGCCAGCAGTGTGGCAAGACCTGGAGACTCTTGGGCCCAGAGTCAGTGACATTGCCACAGAGGACTAGAGTGGAGAGTGAAGCGTCCAGCTGATAAGAATAGAGGGCAGATGCATAAGAACACCCACACTTGCAGATAATACCCACTTGACCTGACTTCAATGACTAGATGATCAGAGCTCAACTAGAAGAAGAAAGGAGAGGAAAAAAAGAGTAATCTGATGAACTTGACCTATACCTATGGATGCAGTAGGTCAAAGGAGGGAACAAATCTTTACAGCAAGGATCATTCTCATCCCCTCTATACACAGAGTAGACAGGGATGGGCAACTTGGACATTGGCTACCCAAAATGGGTGGGGGGTGCGGGTGGGGAGCAACAAAGGCAAGAAGTGACTGGCTTACAAGCTTTCAAGAGGGAACCTAGATCCACAGGGTGTGGAGGAAGGTAGAATCTCTACTGAATAGTATCCAATCTGTCTAGGCGGGGCTGATGAAAGGAAATGCGGATAGGTCTCTTGTGATACAATAGTGAATAATTGTTATCAGGACTACTTGTGAGGGTTAGAAATGTAAAGGTAGACGTTTTGTAACAAGGAGGAGAGTGATTAACTTTGCAGTCTAGGAGCGGAGGTCCCTGGCACCATCAAGAGAGAAGAGTGGAGAGCAGGACCCTACCCAGAGAAGCAGTGATGCCTGAGATGGAGGCAGAGACAATAACGTGGAGAGATGGAGCAGCTGGGGACTTTAGACACAGAGAGGGAAAGGGGCTGTGTGCTGACGACTGGGGGGAGGGGGCCAGGCTTGTAGGATATACCCTTTGGTTGGTTGATGATGCATGGAGGGGATTGTAACCATGGCAATGAAACGATATACAATGGGATGAATGTAAAACTAATGTTCTCCCATGTAAACTATCACATAATTCACAATAAAACATTTGGAAAAAAAACAAAACTGATGATCTGCTCTGTAAACCTTCACTCAATTCATAATAAAAAGTTAAAGAAAAGATGAAAAACAAACAAACAATATGTTGTAAATTCTATTATACCTGTGGTTATTAGCCCATTTTGAAGCAGGATTATCTTTGTTATATTAAGGTGCCCTTGTGGTGCTGTAGGATAAGCACTGGACTTGCTAGACAAAAGGCCGGCAGTTCAAACCCACCAGCCACTCCTCGGGGGAAAGATAAGGCTGTTTGCTCCCGTAAAGATTTACAGCCTTAGAAACCCCATACAGGGTTGCTATGATTGGAAACTATGAATTGACTTGATGGCAGTGAGTTTTTGTTATATGCATAAGATGGTATTAGTGTAGGGTATATCAACATCAATCTCTTTTGAAATATATGAGGAGGCTTCAAAAGTTTGTGGGGAAATTCTATTATCTTCTCATACCATTTGTCCATGAACTTTTTGAAACCCCTCATAAAAGCAATAGGCTAATTGAGGAGGAGAGACGCCATGCCACATAAAGACAGCCAAGAAACCACGGAAGGGTTGCTGCAGGGTAATCAAAACCCTTCTCCCAAAGCCGGGCAGAGAGAGTAAGCCTTCCCCTGGAGCTGGGGCCCTGAAGTCACTCTTCTAGCCCCTAAACAGTGAGGGAAGCAATGTCTGTTCACATGGATTTCTGCGACAGCTGCTCTGGTGACCACGGCAGTGGCTGAGTGGATGAGGTAACAAAGAATGGGTGACAGTCTGGGGGAGCCATGGAGCAGGCCTGGGGTGAGTCCTGCCCCACTCGTGCCACAAGGGTGAAGTGTGTTTGTGTGGTTGTTCAGCAAGCCACTTGAAGAACCCCAAACAGAGTAGGAACTAGAAACAAGGGAGCTCCTGGTCCCTACCCCTCTGCATTTTCTAATCTAGATTTGAGGATCCCTCAGTAGAGTCCTGGTGTGCCACTGTGGGTTAATGCACCTGACTGCAAAGCCGTTTGAACTGCAAGGTCGGTGGTTCAAATTCACCAGCTGCTCCTAGGAAACCCTATACAGGGTTGCTATGGGACGGAACCGACTCGACGACACTTAATAACAGTGGCACAGTGGGAAAAGCATTGGGCTGCTAACTGTAAGGCCGGCAGTTCAAACCCCCCAGCAGCTCTGTAGGAGGAAGAAAAGGCAGCCTGCTCCTATGAAGACCGACAGTCTCAGAAACCCTCTGAAACAGTTCTCCTCTGTCCTACAGGGTGGCTCTGAGTCACCACCAACTCAAGGGCCCTGGGTTTGACTTTAGTTTTGGTCTTTGGCTCCTGGAATCAGGAATCAATGAGAAACCTGAGTTTGTTTAAACCAGAAGGAATCTATTGAAAAGATCCCTCCATCTTTTCCGTTTGATTCCCAAACAGGACATCAGCACAGCCCCATCTCCAGCATCAGTTTCTAGAAATTTTCATTACTCCTGGTACCCGGACAGGAGGGAGTGAGAGGCATGAGGTCGGGGTGTGCAGTGTGAACTTACTGGTTAACTCGTACGTGGTAAAAGCGGAGCTGCTGTTGATGGTCTTGAAGCTGCTGTCGGCTGTGGGGGCAAGCAGAGTAGAGAGCTGGTTACTGGGGGGCTGGGTCCCACCACCCACCCACAGAAGAGATGTGGTTGTCATTGTTTTAGCTATTGAGTCACTTCTGACTCAGTGACCCTGAAGACCAGGAAGTGGGGACCGTCTGGCTCTGCCAAACCAAGCGTAGTTTCAGCCATCATATTCGGGTGAATTAACTAAATGTTTGACTAAATATAACAGGCTAATTTTTAAGCTGATAATTTTGTAAGACCCATGAATGATGTGGTACATTTTGGCAGAAATAAATTTTCCCCATACCTGCTGTTGAGGGTTTCTCAGGCTGTAAATCTTTGTGGGATCAGAATGCCTCATCTGTCTCCCTCGGAGCAGTGCGTGGGTATGAACCGCCAACCTTGTGGTTAGCAGTGCAGTGCGTCTCCTACAGCACCACCAGCGCTCCTCCATGGTGGAGATGCGAGTCTCCGTAAAGCAGGGGTTGTGGGTCCCTGAGCGGGATAGACGCTGCCCCTTCGATCCCAGGGTTGCACGTGTATTTAGTGTGGTGGTGGTGGTTATGTGCCGTAGAGTTTGTCCTGACTCATAGCGACCCTGTACAGGGTTTCTGGGGCTATAAATCTTTATGGGAGCAGAAAGCCTCATCTTTCTCCTGCGGAGCAGCTGGTAGTTTCGAACTGCTGACTTCGCAGTTCGCAGCCCAATTCGTAACCCCTACGCTACCTGAGCTCCTTGTATTTAGCGTAGAGCAACCCAAAGATGAGAGGAACCCGGAGGAGCACAGTCAGCAGACACTCTGCCCTGAAAAGGGCCAGCAGATGCCAAACTGAAGACCAAGGATGATGGCTCAGAAAATTGCTGCATCTAGGCCTTTGACTGCATTTGGTTTTGCTGCAAAGCCCAGGGGAGGTACTAGGTGCTGTAGGCCATCGCAGGGACAGCACAGGGTATGAAAGGGAGTGAAGAGTAGTGGACAGCTCCTCCCACCCATATGAGGGTGCAGGGTCAGCGGGGAGGGGCTGTGTGAGACTGGTCAACCTCACTGCCCACGCCCAAAGAGCCTGGGCCATAGGCAGAGCCTCCCAACACAATGGACAGTGTACGCTGTTACCAAATGGCTATCTTACTGCCCCCAGGCTGAGGATGTTGTGGGGTGGAAGGCATTTTCTGTGCCACTGCTTGGAGACAGAAGGAGACACAATTGTTGCCTTCCTTCTGAGAGGGGAGAGGTCTATTTAGGAGCTCTGCTGGGGCCCCAAGCCAGAGATCCTGGGGGAGCTAAGCTGGCCCAGAGTAGGGGAGCCTCGAGGCCTGCCTCTTACCTGTAAGCTCGGCTCTGAGGGCCAAAGGGTTCTTCAGTACTGTCTTCACCTCGGTTCCGGGTCCTGCCTCAGACTCTAGTTCCCTGTAGTAGACTCGGTACCCCACAAGGAGGCCATTCAGACTCTCATCCCGAGGGGGCTGCAAAGATAGCACACGACTTAGTCTTCACGTTCACCTAGTCAGCTGTGTGGACGACAGTCCCCGAGTCATGTCTGTGGCTCGAGTTCCAGCTAAACAATAACCAGGTTGATACGAGGGGAGCAATTATACTAGGGAGGTATGTTTGCCTTAGAATATCCAACCCTGTGAGCTCCAAAGCACAGTTTACTCAAGGAGGAAGTTCAGAAGGCAGGAAGGATTCTGGAAGATGGAGGACTGGAAAACAGGAGGCAGACGGGAGCAAATGAGATGAGAGCTGTTACTCTGTGGGGAGGCCATCGCTGTAATGAACCAAGTGTGCATGCGGTGCTGGGGTGCAAGACTGAAGATCCTGCTCTGCAAATCCTCTGCCAGCTCACAATGAAAAGTCAAACATAAACAAATAAACACAAAAAGACAGACACATAGAGGGATGTGGGAGAGTGTTCACTGTGCAGATGACCCTGGGGAGCTGTTTTCCAGGTTCTCTCAAACCTTACAGGACCAGCGTCCACCTGTGAGTATTCGTGTTTGTTGTTGTTGTGAAGTGCTGTTTAGTCAGTTCTGACCCACAGCTACCCTGTATAGGGTTTCTGAGTAGTAGCTGGTGAGTTTGAACCGCCAACCTTGCAGTTCTGACTCACAGCGACCCAGTAGAGGGTTTCCGAGGAGCAGCTGGTGAGTTTGAACCGCCAACCTTGCAGTTCAAATGGCTTTGTAGTACAGTGTCACACCAGGACTCCTGAGTATTAGTGTGGACACGTGGAACTCTCACTCACATCCAGATGGAGCCCCAGAGCTAAGGCTGAAGACTGGGGTTCCCGACACGGATGTGTGAGGAGGCTGACTGGAGCACTAAGGGAGTCGTGGTGTGGTCTGGCTCTGCCTGTCCATCTGGATGGTCTCGTCTCTGTCACTGTCCAGTCACCAGCCTTTGAGGGTCCTGCTGACTTCTCCTCATGCCAGATCACAGCAAGACCACCTCCTGTCTGTCCATCTGTCAGTCTGAGATGCTGTCATTTCTTCTCTGCAACCCCCATCCTCCACCCCCAGAACCCCCAATCCTTGACTGCACCCTGCTCAGCACATCAGTCTTGGTGCTGGCTCCGTTGGTTTTCCTCTCAGAACCCACAGAACTGCTTTTCAAAGAATCAGGTTGGCTTTTTGGGATTCACCCCTACTCCTAAAAACTGGCTCCACATAAACAGAACTTAAAATTCTTATTGCCAACCAGATTTACTGGCTCTTCTGAGACTGGAGGAACCCTGGATTCTATTGTCTGGAGACAACGTTTAAGCCTTGAGACAGAAGTAGTTTTTAAATGAAACCATGGACTTCTTGCAATAAAGAATATTCACCTAGAAGACTGTGCTGGTTTAAAGAATTATCTACACAGGACTGACTATCTATATGGGTAAAGTTGGGTGTCCCAGTGCATATATTTGCAAACATTAGACTGTTGTTTATGAACTATATAATAGCATTACGAAAAAATAGAGATATTTCAAGGACAACCAAAGTGGGACACAGAGACATGAAGTAAGCACACGGTGTTGCTTACCAGAGACCCTAGACACAACAGGATTAGACTGTTGTGAGCCACATGGTTTTCATCGGCTGATTTTGGAAGTAGGTTGCCAGGCCTTCCTTCCTACCCTGTCTTAGCCTGGAAGCTCTTCTGAAACCCATCCGGCATCACAGCAACATGTGGACAGGTGGGATGGTGGCTGGGAATCGAACTCAGGACTTTGGCATGGAAGGCGAGAATTCTGTCAGGGAACCACTACTGCCCCCCTTCTGTTATTGTGCCCTCGAGTGGATTCCAACTCATACTGACCCTGTGGGACAGAGCAGAACTGCCCTAGAGAGTTTCTCAGGCTGGGAATCCTTATGTAAACAGACTGCCTCATCTTTCCTACGCACCATTTGGTTAGTAGCTCAATGCTTCACCCACTGCTACACCAGGGCTCTTCCCAATGTCTACTGCCTGTCAGTAAACAGCTGCTGAAAATGCAGAGTAGGACAGATAGTGAGATTTTGGAGAACCCCAGGACTTCTGTTCTGACCCTCCTGGGCCACAAACAGGCAGAAAAAGGGGTCCCTGCACAAGGCTGTGTGCCTAGCCCTAGCCTGCTTCTCGAGGCCATGCTCACTTAGATGGGCCCCCTGTCCCAGGAGCCATCTGCATGTAGCCCAGGAGTGTGCAGGGGCAGGAATGGGCAGTGACAGTGAGAAGTCTCCTGCTTCATCTCGGCCATCTGAAGTGTCTCAGTTCAGCTAAGAGGAGCAGTGAGCCAGCCCATCAAAAGGCTGCCGCTGAGTCTCTGATGTGCTGGCCCCAGGAGCTCACCCCAAGTTCATCTTCAAAGCTGCTCTCAGTTCCCAAGGTGGCAAAGGCCCCCAGATGGGAGAGATACTGCAGCACACACAGTCCTGGGAAGTCAACCCACTCATAGCATCAGTGATGAGTAGGACATCAGGGGCTGGGGACAGAAAAGTGACCACGTGTAGCACCTGTAACTGGAGCTCAGAGCCACCACTCACAGAGCTTTGGAGGTGGATGGAGGGAAGGGTTGTGTGCCCATCTCCCCACCCCTCTTAATTTGAGGCACAGATGAAGACAAAGACCAGTTTGCCCAAGCAGCTGAAAACCAAACTGCTTACCTCAGGGCTTCAAGGATTGGCTCCATCTGGGGGGTGGGGCTTCAGGCTTCCCTTGGGAGCTGGGCTCAGTCACACTTCCTCCCCCTGGAGAGTTTTCAGGCCCAAGTCTCAGCTCCTCGATGTTGCCCCTGGGTGTCTGCTTTCTGCTCACACCTGACAACTTTCCTGCAGTGTGAATGAGCCCAACCTCCCTTACCCCCCTTGTGGCCCCAGAGAAACTGGAACTCAACTCAGGGTAATAACTGGGGGCTTACACTCCCTAGTCGGTGCCCATAGCTGGAGCCTTCTCCCCGGAAGGTCTGCAAATACCACAAGTGCTGGTCGGCTCAGCCCTCCCCACCTTCCTCTGGCCACAACTAGTGTCTTGATCACCCTGGGTGTTCAGCACTTCCCACAGGCTCTGGATCTCTGTGAACAAGTGACCCAAACCCCTGGCCGTCAAATGGACGCTGACTCATAATGATCTTATAGGAGAGAACAGAACGGCTCCAGGGGTTTCCGAGGCTGCCATCTTAATGGAAACAGACTGCCTCATCTTTCTCCTGAGGAGTGGCTGGTAGATTTGAACTGCCGACATGTGGTGCTTTAAACACGCACCACAAGGGCTCCTCATGCCCTCCTTAAATCAAACCAAACCCACTGCTGTTAAGTTGAGTCTGACTCACAGCGACCCTACAGCACAGGCCAGAACTGCCTGGTGGAGTTTCTAAGGCTACCATCTTCATGGAGCAGACTGCCTCCTCTTTCTCAAAAGGATTTGAACCACCGGCCTGAGGTCAGCAGTCGGGTGCTTTAACAATGGCACCACCAGGGATCTTATGATATTTCTGTGGGAAGGTGCCCAGAACAACAGCCAGGATTCCCTGGGGAGAGAGTTCAGCTCAGGATGAGATCTAAATCCACAAATCAAACCTGCGGCTGATCACCAGCCCCACCTCTTGGTGACCCTGTGTGTGTGTGTGTGTGTGTGTGTGTGTGTGTGTGTGTGCAGAACTGAGCTCCGTGGGGTTTCCAAGAGCTGCTTTAGGAGGAGGTTGCCAGGCCTTTCTTCCTCGGCACCTCTTGGTGGGCTAGAACTTCTAACCTTTTTGTTAGCAGCCGAATGTGGCTACCATTTGCACCACCCAAGGACAAGATGTGTTAGGGCTTTTCTCTTTAGCAAAACAAAGGAAAAGAGAAAGAAGAAGACAGCCTGAAAATTCACCCTGGATTCTGCAGCAGCATGGGATGGCAGGTGGGGAGGAGGGGCAGCTTTGGAGTGACACCTTGAATGATGGACGGGAAGTCTGAGGACAGTCAGATTAAATGTTGTGACCAGTTCAGACTTATTAGCGCCTATTACGGTCTCTGCTTGGTGCAAACACAACACTGCCACCGTCTAGAATTTGATTTCAAAACCTCAGGTTTCAAGCAGGTCTGGACTCTGTGAAGAAACACTTTGAATGACCCTCCCAGGCAGTCAGACCTGACAGGCCACACGTGGCATTTGGATCAACCAATGTCCTTGGATTTGCCACCTAGAGGTCTGCAATATTTAAACAAATTACCACCCCCTAACAACAACAAAAAAAGGTTTTGCAGGTGAAACGTTCCATTTGGGAGGCAAATCTATATTTAAACATGCTGTCTTTGTTCTGTTGGCTCTGATTTAGAAAATTACTCATAATTTTAATTATACGTGAATTGCCTGGAGGCGGACAGGCATTGATTTCGACAATGCAGGTATTACTGACCACCTCCTGGTCTCTGCTTCTTACAATTAGTTTGTTCTGCTCTCATGGGAGGGGGCAGTGGATGGACACGTGCGCAAGCTCCTTGGGTGCAGACAGAAGCCATTCCCCAGAGCTGTGCCACCACAGTGGTGGCAGGCGGATGGTTCTGCGGTGACTGCCGTTCTTGGTTAGACTTGCTAGGCTACAGGAAGGCCGGGCACTCTGTCGACCAGAACACGATTTTGTGGTAGAGACCACTGTGCCACCAGGTCTCTTTCTCCACTAATTGACAAGCAAATGCTCCCCCGTGACACACAGGGTCTCTATGAGTCAGTATTGACTCAACAGCAACTAGGAGCATCGTATGAGTGGGAGGTGGGAAATTAAAGCCTTTGGGGATGTCATTTTCTGATTTAATGAAGGTTTCTGCCTCCCACCTAACCCCCTACTGTAAACTGGATCTGAAATTAAGGGCTTCAGTAATACCAGGGACCTTGATTCAGACCTTAGACCAGACTAGACCCACAGCATGGAGTCCCTTCCCACTTACAGGGACCCTGCAAAGCAGAGCTCAACTGCCCTGAGGAAAGGCTACAAATCTTCATGGATGCAGGCTGCCTCGTCTTCCTCACTTGGCATAACTGGTGGGTTTGAAATGCTGACCTTGTGGTTAGCAGCCTGTTTTTTAATCACGGTACTGTCCTTTTATAATATATATGTTATACAATTAAGGAGCTCTGGCAGTGTAGTGGTTACCAATCACGCTGTGAACCTCAAGTTCGGCAGTTCGAAACTACCAGCTGTTCCACAGGAGAAAGATGAGGCTTTCTGCTCCTGTAAAGATTTACAGCCTCAGAAACCCTGTACAGGGTCACTATGAGTCGGAGCTGACTCCATGGCACATAACCACCAACCACCATATTATACATTATATATGATATGCATATTATATATATAACAAGGACTGCTATGTTCTGACCTTACAGAGAACACTGTGACCTCCCATTTTTACAGAACCTGAAGATTGATCGGAGTCCCTCAGTGCCACCGCTGCACAGTGGCAAGCTGGTGGCCAGAAGACTTGGAGGCGGGGCGGGGGGGAGTCCAAACTGACTCTGTTGATATCCCCATTGTATCCCCTTTACCCTGGCAAGGTGAGAAACTACATAAAGCTGCCGCCACGTGGCCCCCAGCTTCAGACTCTGGATGGGGCTTCTGAACTCCTTGAAGGATTGCTATTATCTCTAAGAAGTGATTAGTTCACTTCGCGGTGGAGACAAGATGAAGGGGTGGCCCCAGATGATTATATCAATACCTGAAGCAGGTTTTGGGCTTCAAGAGCAGTTTATGAACCCACGTCTTCACTCCATGGATGAAGCAACATCAAGAGATAATTGGATGAGCCAGATGAACTGGCCACTTCCGTACATGAAGAGTGGTTCAGGGATTAATGAGAAGATTGATACATAGTGAAAATATAATCAATATCACTCTTGATTGTTACACTGGAAATTAATTGGCAAACTTTCACCGGAAACACAATACATTATTTTTCAAAGAAACAAACAAACAAGTTGTCAGATTTCATACATGACTACCCTACTGCCCATGGATATCACCAAGCTACAACATGGTCATGACATGAAACACTGATGGAGAATGCACCACCACCTTGTACAGATGACCTCCACAGTGGTACTTCCAGCCATCCCAAGCAGCCTCTCTGGCCTGCCAAATGGGAAGCTCAAGTAACGCCAAGTCCACCTCAAGGAAGCTGGTCCAAGTGTGTGCCTGCGATCTCAGAGCTGGGAGGTACTTACAACTTGCCCTACTAGGCTCCTCTGTCCCAGCCAGATGTGCCTTAGGACCACCACTCATTGTTACTATCCTGACCTGGGCCAAATGTCAGATGTTTGGGTTTTGTGAGATGTTCTCAAACCCTCTGATGTCAAGGCTGTCAATCTTTACCAGAGCATACTGTCTCCTCATTCTCCCATGGAACAGCTGTGGGTTAGCAGTCCAAACTTTAATCCTCTGCTCAACCAGGGCTCCTTGGGAGTGCTGTTGTTAAGTGTCGCAGAGTCAGTTCCAACCCATAGCAACCCTGTACAGGGTTTTTAAGGAGCGGTTGGTAAGCTTGAACCGCCGACCTTGCATTGCAAAGCAACTTTGCAGTCCAGTACATTAACCCACAGCGCCACACCAGGACTCCTGGGAATGCTGTACTGGAGACAAATTCCCTAACTTCCTTCAAAGGTTCCTAGCATTCTGCTTCTTTCCAGTTTGCCCTTCCTTTTCTACGGCAAGGGGCCCTGGTAGAGCAGTGATTAAGCACTTGGCAGGTCGGTGGTTCAAACCTACCCAGCGGCTCCTCAGGAGACAAGCCCTGGCGATCTGCTCCCGTAAAGATGACAGCCTAGGAACCCTGAAGGGGCACTTCTGCTCTGCTACACAGGGTCACCAGGAGGCACACTTGATTCCACGGCACCCAACAAGTATTCAGCTCCCCAAATGCTCTTTGTGTCAGCTGTACCGTCCTGCTGGGCCCCACCCTGAGGGGTTGGGGACATGTCCATTCCTTGTTTGTATAACAGTCATAGTTTTAATTTGGGGGAAATCAGACTGTTACATCCTCTCCCCTTTGATTCTGCAAGCCCACCATCAAGTTCTCAGCCACTGAGGGCAGCATGCAGTCCAAAGATGGATACCTGGGGCTAAGTGACCACCACGATCGCGGCACTCACCTGCCACTGGATCAGGATGGAGGAGGTGGTATGCGGGGTCACCGAGACAGAGCTGGGGGGTTCTCCTGGAACTGGGGTCCAAAGAAGGAGAAGGCGAAGGTTACAACAATTCAGGCTCTCCCCCTCCCTGCCAGCTCAGCTGCTGCTGCCTCTGCCCCCTCACCCCCACCCCATGGTCCTGGCTGTCCTAACATCCACGTGGACCCTTTTTCTAGCTTTCACCGGCCACACAGACTGCAGAGAGTTCTCAACAAGTGCAAGTTGTGCAGTTGTGCTGATGTTGTTAGGTGTTGTCGAGTCCGTTCTGACTCATAACGATCCTGTGTACAACACTGCTCAGTCCAGCGCCCTCGTCACAATTGTTCGTTTAAGCCCATTGTTGCAGCCACTGTCAATCCATCTTGTTGGGGGTCTTCCTCTTTCTCACTGACCCTCTACTTTGGTGGTAGTGTGTTGTCAAGTCAGTTCTGAGTCATAGCAACCCTAAAGAAATAGAAAGCCTCATCCCTCTCTCCCTTGGAGCTGCTGGTAGATTTGAACTGCTGATATAGCAGTCAGCAACCCAACATGTAACCCACTATGCTACCAGGGTTCCTGACTCTCTACTTCACTGAGTGCCTTCGAACCTGAGGGTCTGTCTTCCCACACTATATCACACAACGCTCTGCTGCTATTATCAGTAAGAGTTTCATTGGTCAGTTATTTTCAGAAGTAGATGGCAAGGTCCTCCTTCAAGCCTGTCTGAGTCTGGAAGCTCTGCTGAAACCTGTCCACTGGGGGTGACCCTGCAGGTGTTTGAAATACCTGTGACATAGATTCCAGCATCACAGCGACACGCCAGCCACCACAGAAACAGAGTGAACTTGTGTTGATGATACAATGTTTATTAGTGAACTATATCCATTGCTCAGGAAGCACTGGTGGAGCAGTGATTACCGCTCATCTGCTAACCAAATGGTTACTGGTTCAAGCCCACGGAAGAAAGACCTGGCAATTTGCTCCTGTAAAGATGACAGCTTGACTCTGCCACATGGGATTGGCATGAGTGGAATTGACTCACCGGCACCTAATAACACTAATCTAAAGGTTGGTGGTTCGAACCAGCTCCCCCTGCCCCCTCCTAGTGACTCCTCAGAAGAAAGGCCTGGCTGCCTGCTTCTGTAAAGATTACAACCAAGAACCCTCAGGGCAGTTCAACACAGTCAAATGGAGTCACTATGTATCCGACTGGAGTCCCGGTGTGGCGCTGTAGGATAAGCACTGGGCAGTGGTTGAAACTCACCACCCGCTCTTTCCTCAGAAACCCTGTAAAAGGTTGCTATGAGTCAGAACGGACTCTATGGCACTAACAACAACAACAGGAGTCGGAATCAACTACAATAGCCACCTTTTCCTGCTTTAAAACCCCTCCCACATGTAGTCAGGGCTCCCTGCCCTAAAGCCTTCCAGCCCAAATCTCTAACTGGTAGCTGCAAACAACGCAATACAAATATGCCAATCAGCTGAAAAGAGAAATACCAATCTCAGAAGGACAGGAAGGTGAGTTCCTGGGATTGGTGCATCAAAGGGAGTGATTTTAATATCAAAGGCTCAAAGCAAGACTTCTGGGAGCCCTAGAGTCTCTCGGCATCTTTTTCCTTAGGATTGCACTGTGTATGGTCACAGAGAGGCAGCTGTGTCCTGCCTCTGACAAACTTCCTCAGAGATATCACAAAGACCAAATCAGCTGGTGGGGTGTGTTCCTCTAGTCTAAGACTGAGTGTTAGTTGCAAATACTTCAACTTGATGGTCGTTGGAAGATTCAAATACAAATGCATTTACATTGTTTTTGTTCCTGGTGTTAGCACCAATGGGACCTTTTCTGGGGGTGGGTGGGGTGGGGGTAAGGGTGGGTTTAGCCCAGATTGCACAGTGGGTTAAGCATTGGGCTGCTACCTGAAAGGTGGAGCATTCGAATCCACCAATCCACCAGTTGCTCCTCCAGAGAAATTTGTAGCACCCTGCTGCTATAAAGAACAGCTCTGTCCTGTGGGGTTGCTGTGAGCTGGAATCCCATCTGATGGTCAGAGTCAAGTTTGGCTTTAGTGTGAAATTGACCCCTACTTTGAGGAAACTTATTTAAAAGGCATTCTGGTTCTGAGTGAGCTGTCTCAGAACTTTTGGGGTTTGCTTGAACTTTGGTTTCCTCACCTTAAATCTTGAGCTCCCTCAGAGATACCCGGGGACCACGTCTGGACTAAGGGCAGTGCCTCTGACCCCCTTGCTGGCTTTCCCCAGCTCTGTGCTCAGGAGACTAGACACACAAAACAGCAGATGCTTATAGGTCAATTCCAACTCGTGGCACCTCCGTGTGTGTTAGAGTAGAACTGTGCTCCATTGGCTTGTTTGCCAGCTTTATGGAAGAAGCCCCCGGTGGTGTAGTGAGTTAAACATTGGACTGCTAAACGAAAGGTCAGTTGTGTGAGAGAAAGATGTGGCAGTCTGCTTCCGTAAAGATTCATGACCTCAGAAATCCTGCCCTCTGGGGCAGTTCTACTCTGTCCTACAGGATTCCAGTGAGTCGAAATCCACTTGACAAGAGCGGGTTTTAATCTTCATGGGGGCGGATCATTGGATCTCTTTTCCATGGTGCTTCCGGTGGGTTTGAACCACTAAACTTCATGTGGGTAGCTGAGCTCTTACGTACGGAGCCACCCGTTTAGACTCTTACGTTGTCCAGGTGGCTGACCAGGGTGGAGCTCACCTCCTTGATTTCCCGCTCATCCTTTCTGGTCCTCTGCCCTTAGTAGTTCAGGTGCCTGGTTTGGGGGCCCCTGACTGCCCTCTGCAGCTACTTAAATCAAAGTAAGGGAAGGAAAGAAGAAAAGAGACTTTCCCACTAGGCTGCCGCTTAACAACCCCATCTTTCATTTCAAAGGACTTGTGTTCCTACTTGATTCTGGCCCTGATCCCTCGCTGCAATAGCAGTTGCTGAATTACAGTCTCTCAACAGACTGGACAGGTAAGGTTTTTTAATTGTTCTTGCTTTATTTTTCCCACCCCCTCCTTCTTTGACCTTGTTTGGTGTAATTTTCTTCAACACCTCAAAGAATTGCAAATGAGAAGAACAGGTTGGAAACAATGATCAATAATCAGAGTGTAGAATGCAGGAAGGATAATCTAGGAAAATTGGCAGTTGTCAAAAATGAAATGGAAGATAGATACCTGAGCCATTAGTGAGCTGAAATGGACTGGTACTGACCCTGCTGAACTGGACAATCAAATGGTCTGCTATGCTGAGAATGATACACTGAAAAGGCATGGCATCACATTCACGTCAAAAATAACATTTCAAGACCTTTCCTGAAGTACAGTGCTGTCTGTGATAGGCTAATAGCCATAAACCTACAAGGAAGATCAAGGAGCTCTGGTTACCAGATGGGCTGCTAACCTCAAGGTCAGCAGTTCGAAACTACCAGCTGTTCTAAAGGAGTAAGATAAGGCTTTCTGCTCCCATAAAGATTTACAGCCTCGGAAACACTATACAAGGTCGCTATGTGTCAGAACCGACTCCACAGCACACTACCACCACCACCACCACAAGAAGATCAGTTAATACCACTATCATTCAAGTTTACACACCAAACACTAATGCCAAAGATGAAGAAAAAAGGATTCTACCAGCTTTCTCACTCTGAAATTGATCAAACATGCAAGATGCACTGATAATTACCGGTGATTAGAATATGAGTGTTGTTGTTGTTGTTAAATGCAGTTGAGTCAGTTCGGTCTCATAGCAACTCTGTATAGAGTTTATGAGGAGCAGCTGGTGGGTTTGAACTGCTGACCCTGTGGTTCACAGTCCACCGTTGTTAGAAAATTTGGCTTTAGAGATAGAAACAATGTTAAAATCTCATGATAGGATCTTGTAAGATCAACGGTCTAATCATTGGAAACACCTTTTTTTTTTAACAGTATAGAAGGCAGTCTATACACGTGGACCTCATTAGATGGAACATGCAGGAATCAAACTGACTATGTCTGTGGAAAGAGACAATGGAGAACCTTCATAGCATCATTTAGCATAAGGCCTGAGACCCACTGTGGATTTAGTCTGAAGTTGAAGAAAATTAAAACAAGTCCACGAATGCCAAAGTATGGCCTTCAGTAGATCCCACCTGAATTTAACAAACATCTCAAGAACAGATTTGAAGGACTGAACACTAATGACCAAAGCCCAGAAGATCTGTGGGATAGCATCAAGGCCAATACACATGAAGAAACCTGAAAGGTCATAAAAAAGACAGGAAAGAAAGAAAAGATCCAGATGTTTGTTAAGAGAGACTGTGAAACTTAAGAAGCTAGAGCAAATGGAAGAAATAAAAAAGCTTAGCAGAAGATCTCAAAGGGTGGCCCAAGAAGACAAAATCAATTATAATGAAATGTGCAAAGATCTGGAGTTACGGACACCATAAGGGAAGAACACACTTGGCAGTTCTCAAGCTAAAGAACTGAAGAAAAAATTCAAGACTCGAGTTGTAAGGCTGAAGGAGTCTACTGTCAAAATATTGAGCAATAGAGGAAGCATCAAAAGAAGATGGAAGGAATAGCCCAAGTCACTGCGCCAAAAAGAACTGGTCAATGTTCAGCCATTTCAGGAGACAGCATACGATCAAGAACTGATTAGTATTGAAGCAAGAAGTTCAAGCTGCATGGAGCCCTTTCCTTTTTTCTTTCTTTCTTTTTTTTTAGTACATGTATTTTATTGTTTAGAAATTTCCTGTAGAGTTATCATTAGGTACCTTTGTCAGGAGATGCCTGTGAGAAGCAGGGTAACAAACTCAGGCAGGAAACGATGGAATACAAACTGAAATATTTCAAGAAACTGATGCAGCACTGGAGGCCCTCACTCATCTAGCCCAAGAAATTTGGAAGACAGCTACCTGTCCAATCGATTAGAAGAGATTCACTCCAAAGAGAGGTGACTCCCCAAATGAGGAAATTATCAAACAATATCACACATAAGTAAAATTTTGCTGAAGATAATTAAAAACGACTGCAACAGTACACTGACAAAGATCTGCCAGAAATTCCAGCCAGATTCAGAAGAGGGCGTGGAACAAGGGATATCAGTGCTGACATCAGATGGATCTTGGCTGAAAGCAGAGGATACAAGAGCATTGTGAGGAAAGGGAAATTTGGAATACTTAATTGTGCTCACGATGAGCCTGTGCATAGATCAAGAGGTATTTGAATAGGTCAAGGTGATACTGGATGGTTTAAAGTTAGTAAAGGTGTGCATTGGGATTACATTATATAGTTTCATCAAACTTTTTCAATGGGTGTGTTGAGCAAATAACCCAAGAATCAGGACCTATGAAGAGGAATGAGGCATTAGGACTGGAGGAAGACTCACTGACAACCTGCAACATGCTAAGGCACGACTATGCAGAAGGTAAAGAGGATTTGACGCACTTACTTTGATGAAAATCTAAGATTTCAGTATGGATTGCAACTCAACGTGAAGAAAACACAAATCCTCACAGTAAGCAACATCACTGTAAGTAGAGAAAAGATTAAGGTTCTCAAGACTTCATTTCACTTGAATCCATAATCAATGCCCATGGAAGCAGCAGTCAAGAAATCAGATGACACACGGCACTGGGCAAACCTGCTGCAAATGATCTCTTTAAAGTGTTCTAGAGCAAAGATGTCACTTTGAGGACTAAGGTAAGTCTGGCCAAAGCCATGGTATTTTCAGTCACCTTCTGCACATACATAGGTTAGACAATGGCTATGGAAGGCCAAAGAAGAATTAATGCCTTTGGATGATGGTGTTGGTGAAGAACATTGGATATACCACAGACTGTCAGAAGAATGAACAAATCTGTCTTGGAAGGAGTAGAGCCAGAGATATTCCTTAGAAAAGAGAATGACATGACTTGGTCTCTCTCACACTTTGGACATGTTATCACGAAGGACCAGTCCCTAGAGAAGGATGCCATGCTTGATAAAGTAAAGGGTTACCTAAAATGAGGAAGACCCCCAATGAGATGGATTGACACAGTGGCTGCACCAATGTGCTCAGACATAGCGACCATCGTGAGGAGGTGCAGGACTGGCAGTGTTTTGTTTAATCGCACATGGGGTCGCTGTGAATCAGAACTGACTTGATGGCACCTCACAACCACCATCTAGAAACCTTTAGCTTTAATCCCCTTGCTGGTCCTTATTTTCATCTGAGGAGACACTAGACATGTAAGGTCTAAAAGAAGCCAGATCTAAGCTGTGGGGTCACAGGGTAAGTCTGCTGGAATCCGTTTTATTTTAAAAAATGACTGAGTATGTGCTGATTAGAAAAAGATAGCACTCTGCAGTAGCCTTGGAGCAGGAGGGCAGGGACGATTGTCCTGAAGCACCGCTGGATGGAGTCAGCGGTCAGACTGTCAGCCCTGGGTCTGATGAGCTGCAGTATCTGCTACATCACACCTTCCTTCTCCTACATCCTCTGGGCCAGGCTGTCCCCGCACCGGCCATTTGATGGAGCTATCTCTAGGTTCCTATCACAAATCCCCCCAACCTGGCATCTCCAGGCCCCACTCCACTCAGGAGACCTCTCTGCACCCACAGTCCATTCATTACTGAAGTGTATTGTCATCAGAAGGAGCTGAGAGTGAGAAGAATTGGGAAAACCTCTTAAAACCCAGCTGCCCTTTGTCATCTATTTTTAATGATTCTATAAATTATTCAATGTCTGGGATGCTAATGGAGAGCTAGGGCTCTGGAAGTCAATCAAAGAAGGTTCCATTCCATTTGGAAGCCCTTGAAGTCTTGATTTACGGCCAGCGGGTCTGCAGGAACACCCCAGGTTGTCTGTTCATCACTGAGTTTCCCTCCTCACCACGGCTCATCCCTAAACCACTCCTACTTGCCTAAGACCAAAGTGTGGGCCTCCCTTCAGGGGTGAGTGTTTGGCCTTCAAAAGTGGCTGCCCCTGGGGAAGCTGCTCCATGTGAGCGTCCACTCACCGTCCTGCAGTGTGGTCACTGCCTCGGTCTCTACACTGAAGTCGCTGTCTCCGATGTCATTGGTGGCTTTCAGGCGTAGTTTGTAGGAGGTGAAAGGCCTCAGCCTGGAACACAGAAGGGACCCAATGAATTCTGGGAAACTCCCTCCATCCATCCACCAATCTATCCATCTATTCATTTATCCATCAATCCTCCCACACCCCTCAGGAGCCCAAGAACCAAGGTAAGGAGAAGAGCATCCTGCTACGCGACTGTGGGGCTTGCTGGTCAACTCCCAGACAAGTTACTCAGCAGAGTGGAGGTGTTCTGGTGTCAGCCCAGGGAGCAGGACTCTCAAGAGGGCTGGAACCTGTCTGGTGAGTGACACCCAGGGAGAGAGGATCCAATTAGGGGTGAGGGCAATGGTCTTCTCAGGGCTACCCCTGAGGACCCTGCTACACCTCCTCGTCATTGAGATTCCCTGGGAGAAGCTAATGAAATCAGCCTTTGCACTGATTCAGAATGGAACATGAGTCCCTATCTCTCACCCCTCAGGGTTCCTGTGTGGACATCTGTCACTGACGGGGCCCTGCTAGCTGCATTCTCCAGCTCCTCCTCTCTGTGGTCCACTCCTCCTGTACCTTAGTGACAGGCAGAGCCCACCAGGCCCTCACTCCCTACCACTTATTGAGTCCAAAGTTGTGCATTGTTCCATTGGATCCTCACAACAGCTTGGTGAAGAAGCAGTCACTGTCTCCCCATTTGATGCATGGGAAGACTGACACCAAGCCATATTGGTTTATTGTCCACTGCCAGAGAACCGGTAAATGGCTGAGGCTGGGGTGGGAGAGGAGTGAAGTAACATTTGTATATTGTTTTACAGAAGACTATGATGATGCTAATTGTCCATATGAAAACATGTCCACAATGGAGATTTTAGGGACACTTGGTGCTACCACTTCATGCCTATTTCCATGCATCCATCCACCCACCCACCTACCCCATCTATTCACTCAGTCATCCCCCCCATCCATCCACCCACCCACCTATTTATCTATGCGCCTATCCATCCACCCACCCATCTACTCACTCATTCATCCATCCATCCATCCACCAATCTATCCATCTACTCATCCATCTATTCATTCATCCATCAATCCACCCACACACCTACCCATCCATCTACACCCACCAACCCACTCATCCATCTGTCCATACAGCTACCTAGCCATCCATCCAAACATCCATCCTTCTATCCAGCTAATCATTCATTCCTCCACCCATCCACCATATGCTTACCCACCCATCCACCTATTCACTCATCCATTAATATAGTCACTCATCAACCCATCCATCCATCTGTTCACCCATCTACCTATCCTTCTATCCATCCATCCATCCTTCCATCCAGTCACTCAGTCCTCCATCCATCCGCCCACTTACCCACCCATCCACATACTCACTCATCCATCCATCCATCATCTGTCCACCCATCCACCTATCCCTCCCTCTATTCATCCATCCAATGAACTATCTATCCATTCAGTCACTCAGTCCTCCACCCATCCACCATTCACTAACCCAACCAGGTTCCCATCCATATATTCATTCGTCCATCCATCCTCTGAGTCCCATGTACTTCAAACAGTACCCGTATTCCCCAGGGCTGTTGCGGAGATTAAACAATAGAGTCTACCCTCATGAGGTCCAGTAGCTCTTGCACTTAATAGGCACTTCATAAATATACTTCCTCTTTCCGATCTTCCCGAAAGCTGCCCCTGACCCCTCGGCCCCAGCTGCCTCAGCTTTCTCCCAGGAAGCCCACTGATGATGAGCAGCTTCCCTGGATGCTCTTCACATTCGTGTCTCCTGGCCATCCCATGTGTATCCGAGTAGATCGGTACTCTGTAGGCTTTCTGATGGCTGATTTGTCAGAAGTAGATCGCCAGACGTTTCGTCTGAGGCCTGGGTGGATATGAACCTCCACTCCAACCTTCTGGTGAGGAGCTGAGTGTGTTCACCACTTGTACCACCCAAGGATCCCTTTTCAAAATCCTCCAAATTCTCATGATCTGGACTCAGAAACAGGATAGGGTTAGGTTAAAAAAAAGAAAAAGAAATTGGGAGAATCCTCTCTACCTGAACTCTTGTTTGTAATCAAACATGCAGAAGTCTAATGAATTTGGACAACACAGAACCCACATCATCCAAACTTGCTATCGTAACTCTTACAGTTCAGAGCTGGGTGCCAAATGCAGTTGGATGCAAGTCTATGTTGGACGGCCTCCTCATAGATGCAAATTTACCTCCTCAGCCAAAGAGTTCTACCCCCGGGGGGACGGGGTGGGCATGACTGACAGGTTGACATCCTTCCTCTGTGTGAAATGCACACACTTGCCAAGAGAGAGAACTCTGTATGTTTAACCTTCATTCTAGTTATGACAGGAAAAAAATATAGGGGGTCCTGAACACTTGGGAAGCTACCCACTGCTGCTGTTATGTGTCTATTGTGCGCACTGGGAATATTTACTAAGAACTCATGAAGAAGTGCAGCTAGAGTGCTCCTTGGAGGCCAGGATGGCCAAACTTCGCCTCTCATACTTCAGACATATTGTCAGGAGGGACCAGTTTCTGGAGAAAGATATCATGTTTGGTAAGGTGGAGGGTCAGCGAGAAATAGGAAGACCCCCAACAAGATGGATTGGCCTAGTGGCAGCATCGATGGACTCAAGCATGGCAACTAGAAGTGAGGTTGGCCCAGGATCGGGTAGTGTTTTGTTCTGCTGTACATAAGGTCGCTATGGGTTGGTAATGACTCGATGGCACCTAACAACAACAACAACATGATCTATACAAAGAACGAGGAATACCTGAGCCACAGTGTACAGACAGAGCTCAGTGATATGGTGGGTTCGCTGTAATAAAACAAAGATGGCAACTGAGGGAGTCACACGCATGTTTTGATTTCCCAGAGCAGAGAGGAGGGAGGCTGAAACCAGACTGCAGTCTGTCAAATGTGGAACAGCACGGTGGAAACGTTTCGAATACGGTGAGGATGAACGGTGCAGGGCACAGGGGCTTGAGAAGAGGACAGGCTATTTGAAAGGTGGCGCTAATGGACTTGCTTGACCCAGGGTGGCCACACACCTCAGGTGACAAAAGAATACGCTATCTGCGAAGCACAAACAATGAGGGGGGCCGACACCCGGATTTTCAAAATCACACAGACAAGGAAATAAAGAAGGCCTCACACACAGGCTCACTGGAGGCACCTCCTTTCTGTCTGATGCATTGGGACCACTCTGTCAATCTATCTCATTGGGGGTCTTCCTCTTTTTTACTGACCCTCTACTTTACCAACCATGATGTCCTTTCCCGGAGACTGGTCCCTCTCGAGAATGCCTCCTCTAGACTCATATTTATGTCTGATCCTAAGTTAAAGCGCTCGGTTACTAACTGAAAGGTTGGGTCTACCCAGAGACGCCTAGAAGAAAGTCCTGGTGATTGATCTGTTTAAGAAAAATCAAGTACTGACAACCCTGCAGAGCTCAGTTCTACCCTGACACACACGGGATCACACAGGGTCACCGACAACATCCACCAAGACACAGCAACTAACTAGACTTGGAGAGCTTAGCTCCTTGGGGTTTGGGTCACTAACAAATGGAGAAAGCTGCTCAAAGTAAAATGAGAAATCAAGGTCAAGACTTAGCTGTCAGAGCTAGAAAACAGGAAGAGAGACCACATCCTGACAGTGTGCAAAATATGGCTTTTCTAGGCTTCTGCCGGGCACACATTTCCTACTGATAGGCACAGAGAGCATTTGTCCTAGTTGTGGCCCATTAGCAAATTGATGAACATCTCTCCAACCCCAGCTTTCACCGTGTGCCCTGAATCCTGGTCCTTTCAGCTCCCATGTGGAGCCCAGAGCACACAGTTAGTCTGATTTCTGAAGCTTCTATCCTGGAGGAGCCGCCTTCCTTTCTTTCTCATGGTCACACAAAGAAGTGAAGCTACTGATGCCAACGGGCACACAGCTATAAGCCAAGGGGACCATGGAAGGCCAGAAGAACACACAACTCTATGTTGGAAGCCAGGATGTTCCTTAGAAGCCAGGATGGTGAAACTTCATCTCTTGTACTTTGGACATCTTGTCAGGAGGGACCAGTCCCTGGAGAAAGACATTATGTTTGGTAAAATGGAGGGTCAGTGAAAAAGAGGAAGACCCCCCCAAAGAGACAGAGCAGCACAGTGGCAGCAGCAATGGGCTCAAGTGTAGCAATAGTTGTGAGGATGACTCAAGACTGGGAACTGTTTTGTTATGCTGTGCATATGGTAAACAGACTCAGATGCACCTAAGGACTACATGAGCTCATTGATAATTAATGTGCTCAGGGTAGAGGCCTGCAGTTTATGAAGTGAGGCTGGCTGGGTCTGCCTGGCACTCTCAGGGAAATCTTGGGTGTCTTACAAGAAACCAGTGGCCAGAATCCTGATCCCCATCCAGAACCTTCCGAGATGGAACATTCTCATTAGAAATGATAAGCAGACCAGCCTGGAACAGCTAGAGCAACAGAAGACACATCTTCAAAGAAAGATCAACAGAAAAACCCAATAGCAGTCTGATTGTCTATTACAAGAACAAGCAAGTTGTATGCTGGAAAGCCATCAAGGCAAGCAATCAAGTCCCTTCAGAACAAACCCCTCTCTAAGACTGAAACACCAAGGGAACACATCAGCAGGCATGTAAGTTTGCTGGTGACCACATTGGTCTACTGGTTAGTGAAAGAGGGGGAAAGGCAGCAATGAAGAAATGGGCTGAGTTCAACTACATTCTATAGACTCCCCTTGACCTGGAGATGAGAGGGAGAAGAGGAAGGGCTGGCTGGTCAAAAGTGTGGTGAGACCTGAGGACACCTGAGCCCATGGACAAGGACATATCCACAGAGGGCTAGAGCTGAGAGTGAAGCATCCAGCTTATAAGAAGTGAGGGAAGATGCACAACAACATCCAAACTTGCAGAGAGTACCCATTTGACCTGGCCTCAATGGCTTGACATTCAAAACTTGACTAGAGAAGACCAAAAAAAAAAAAAATTTGATAAAGGAAATGAGGGTAAATTGCTACAATTTGATGAACTTGACCTATATTATGGATATAGTAGCTCAAAATACCAACTGAGAGGGAAGGAGTCTTCACATCAAGTATCAATGCTATCCCCTGTAGGAAAAACGTGCCATGTGTGAAACCCACTCTGAGGCAGTTCTCAAGAACAGCAACGCCTTGATGAGAACTGCAAGGAAAACCTTGCATGCCAAAAATTATGGGAACAGAACACACTAATGAGAGGGCTGGGGGAGTTGTCTAAAATGAGGAGAAAACATGTGTGCCTGTTATCTAGTTAATAATAAACTTTAGCTTTGTTGTGGTACCCGGATACGCTTCCTGCCTAAAATTGAACTTAAACTTGTATTATAAGTAATAAAGTTACTCTTAATTGACCATCTTGAGTCCCCTGCTACTTTCATTCTCCATCCACCTCCAAAACCTGGTCATATAGACTAAATCCTACAATCCCCTCTGTACACAGGGTATATAGGGATGGGCAACTTAGACATTGGCTACCTAAAATGAGGGGGTGATAAAGGCATGAAGTGACTGGCTTACAAGGTTTCAAGGAGTTTAGTTTAATGGTGTGTGAGGGAAGATAGGAGTTCCCATTGAATAGTTTTCATCTTATCTAGATGGGTCTGGTGAAAAGAGATGGGGATAAGATTCTTATGATTCAATAGTGAGTAATTGTTATCATGACTAATTGTGACTGTCACAACTGCAAAGGTAGAAGTTTTATAACAAAAACAGGGGAGTAGTTAATCTTAAAATCCAGAACCAGAGGACCTTAGGACTATCAAGGGAAAAGAGCACAAGCAGAATCCAGGACGCTACCCAGAGAAGGAGCAACACCAGAGACAAAGGCAGAGATGGGGACATGGAGAGAGGGAGCAGCTGAGGGTTCTAGATTCATGGAGAGAGAGGGACTGAGAGCTGGTGGCCAGGAGGCAGGCTTGCAAAATGTGCCCTTTGGTGGTTTCAATTATTATATATATATATATATATATACATACCTAAGTGTTTTTTAAAAGAAGAGCTAAAGTGAATAGAGAGAAATACTGCTAACTGATGGTACATGGAAGGGATTATCATCATTTGTAATGAAACAAAGTCTAGGATTTGTTGAATGTAAAACTGATGATCCGCCCTGTAAACTTTCACTCAATTCATAATAAAAACTTTAAAAAAAATTGCAGTTCAATACAACACAGCAGCAATTTTGTATTTCTTTTCTGTATGCCTTATTTTAAACTTAACTTTATACCGATAGAAACATATATTTTTCAGAATAATCGATCATACCAAAAAAGTTTGGTGTAGTGAAATAAATAAAGAGATGATATTATAAAAATAAAATAAAAGAAAGAAAACAGTGGCCCTTCAGAGGATGAATGGAGTCCTGGCCGCTATGAAGGGGACAATGGATTGCCAGGCCGGCCAGGTCCAGAGGTGGGTCTAAATTAGAATGGCTGAGAGGCCTGACTGCCCTTCAGCCCATCTTCTCAAGGATGAGAACACACAGCCCGGGTGCTCACAGCAGACGACTTTCCCCAGGAAGGAGGTTACAAGGAGAGCCATATGAAACTGTAGCATTCACGCGGTTCACACGCTGTTCTTTCTACTACATCACCCCCCAAAAACGCCCCCTGGTGCCTTCGAGTCCACCCTGATTCCTGGTGACCCTATGTGACACAGCAGAACCACAATGTAGGGTTTCCAAGGTTGCCATCTTCATGGAAGTAGCCCTGGTGGCACAGTGCTTAAGTGCCCAGATGCTAATCGGAAGGTCGGCAGTTTGAATCCACCAGCTAGCTGCTCCTTGAGAGTAAAGTCAGCAGTCTGCTTCTGTAAAGATGCCTTAGGAATCCCGAGAGATGCTTCTACTCCATCCTGGGGGTCGCAGTGAGTTGGAATTGATTTGATGGCCATGGGAATTTTCACAAAAGCAGATCACCAAGGCTTTCTTCTGCAGAGTTGCTGGGTGGGTTTGAACCGCCAAACTTAAGGTTTACCGTCGATCGCACTAGTCATTGTTGTCAGCCCTTCATAAAGGAGCTAAAAAGGAATGATCTGTGCCCAGGAAGTTTTGAGCGGCAGGCCCACAGAGCACCATAGCCTCGAAAGATTTTGGGGATCTCCTCTCCCAGTTGGAGAAGAAATCAAGGCTCTGCATACTTTTGCTTTATCACCTAAGGCATCTCTACCTCAACGTGCTCATCTGCAAAATGGACTGTCAGAAACACACCGTAGAACACCATATGAGAATGATTTTGAATGTTCTAGAATGCTGCACCTGGTTTTATTTGAGCTTTGCTTTAATGCACTTCACAAGACAGTGAGCACTCTTTATATGTTGAAAGTCTGTGGCCACCCCACATCGGGGCAAGTCTATTGGAGCCGTATCTCTAACAAGGAGGGCCCGCTGGGTGTTTCTGGGTCATGTTTTAGGCATTCTCGCAAGAGTTCCAATTTGAATTCTATTGCACACTTCATAGATGTGTCACATCACTGTCGTCTGACTGGGAAACGCCCGCTGTTTTGTGATCTTTGCTCAATTGCTATGGTCTGCAAAGGAATCCGCAGGCAGTCTCTCCAAGGTGAAATAGTGCTGATGATGTGAATGGCAGACAGCTTTAACCATCTGAAAGTCAGCTGACTAGATCACTATGGAAAAGGTCCCAAATGCGAATGTCAAAACCAAGGCCCTCTCTGGCCAGCCTCATTTTCCTATTGACTGGGGGGTAGGAGTCTCACCTCCCACACAGAGGACTTGGGTTTGATTCCGGCCAGTACACATTATGTGTAGCCACCACTCGTCTGTCTGTCTTTGGAGACTTGCATGTGGCTGTAAAGTTGAAAGGTTTTCAGCAGAGCTTCCAGGATAAGAAGGACCAGGAAGAAAGTCCTGGCTATCTACTCCCAAAAATCATCCAGTGAGAACCCTATGGAACCCAGCAGTCAAATCCACAACCGATCATGGGCGTGGCACAGGACCAGGTAGCAGTTGGCTTCGCTGTGTGTGGGGTGGATGGTGACTGACCACAATGATTGATTAGTTAACTCAGTTTCTAAATGCCAACTCGTGAATACACACACCTTGGCCAATGCTGAACCCTCTGTAGACGGCTCGTGCTGGAAAGCCAGGGACACAATGGAGCGAGTGGATGTCTCAGCTGACTGTGGGCTCCCCTCCCATTACACGCAGGGGCCTCAGCTGGGGGTCTGTCTGCTGTACTGCCACCATAGCGAGCCGGAGAGGAAGATCTCTCCTTCCTAGCTAGTCCCAGACCTCCGCATGCCCTTCACCCACACCTCTGCTTTCCCTATACCTGCTTCATGGGCACCCCAGCCCGCACATCAGAGCTGCCTCCTCACCAGCCCAGAACTCAGGGAGGACAGACTCCTGCCTGAAGGTGGGGCTGGCTGGAGGGGGCCCCCTTCCCCAGTTCTCGACTCCCCACAGTACCTTTCGACTACACAGGCAGTGGCCTCGTGGCTGACAGATGAGGAGTAGGTCTGCCACTCTCCGGTGGGCAGCTCTCGCACCTGCACAGTGAGGTAGCGGATGGGGGAGGCACCATCACTGCCGGGGGTCCACTGGAGGCGGAGGCTGCGGGCAGTCACTTCAGCCTGAGGGACCTGGAGATCACATGGAGGTGCTGGCCGCTCTGAAACCAAAGAGTACAGGCCAAGGGGCACTGAGAAAGAGCTCCTCCCAAAAGGTGTCTATGCGTAGTCACACCTGGCTGCTACAGGTGACAGGGAACCTCGGGTCACAGGGCCATGAAGCCCTCCCTGTGCTCTCCACAGCTGGCCACAGGTGCCACACTTGGTGAGCCACCTAACCTGCATCTTGGTTACCTGGTGTTGTTATAACAGGAACACTACAAGGGGAGGCTTTAACAAACAGACGTTGCATCTCTCAGTTTAGGAGGCTAGAAGTCCAAATTCAGGGCTCCGGCCCTAGGGGAAGACCCTGGTCTCCTTTCAGTAACTGTGGGCCTATGTCTTGGCATCAATCTGCCCTTGAGCCTAGGAGGGTCCCAGTATAGGATGCCCTCTGTTCCTGGGTCTTCTTTTTTGGTGGTGGTAGGACCCCTCTCTTTGCTTTTTCTCTTTCCTGGTGTGGCACTGTGGGCTCATGTGTCAGGCTGCAAAGTTGTTTGAACTGCAAGGTTGGTGGTTCAAGCTCACCAGCTGCTCCTTGGAACCCTATACAGGGTTGCTATGGGTCAGAACCGACTCGATGGCACTTAACAACAACATATCTCTTGAAAGATACAGGCCACGCCCCCAAGAAAACTCTGTTTCCATGGGTCAGGGCTGTGATCTGAGAAAGGAAGTTGCATCTCCCCTAGCCCCCTTACAAATGATGGGTTGATCACATCAGATCACATCCTAATAACTGCCAAATTACATCATTCCATAACTGCCAAATTACATCATTCTATAACTGCCAAAGCACTGAGAACCAGGACCCAAACAAGCTGACTTCTGCTGGGGGGAGACACAATGAAACCTGTGACGACCTTGTTTGGTCCCAGAATGCACTACTGTAAGGGCCACTCAGACCTATCTCCTGCAAGTGAAAACACAGGTGGACCCACAGTGAGTCCAGACCTGCTCCGTGACTCAGGTACAGGGGTCTCTGAAGGGCACCTGAGGTCACAGGGCTGGGGTCTCTCGCAGGTACCTGCAGGCTCCCCCTGGGCCCTCTTATCTTCTAATTTCTGGCTTGGCACATCTGAACACTTTCCCTCCATGTCAGCCTGAGGCTGGTATTAAAGGAATCCATCCTGGCTGTTTTTGGGGGTATCAGTGTGGTGCATGGGTCCCTCTGGGTGGTCACTGATCTATGGGGGTGGTGGGGAGTCCCCCTGAAGGACCTACATCTGAATGCAGCCCATCCCCTGCCACCGTCTCCCCAGCCATCGATTGTAATAAACAGCCCAACAGAGGGAGGAATAATTGTCTAATTGTTTATCAGGAAGACCATTGATTCTGATTAAGAAGGGTGATGTGTAATAACACAGCAATTGATTGAGGCACCACAGTGGCTGAGGGACCTTCTGGCTCCCTTTGTCGGCACTGGTCCCAGACAAGGGCTCAGAGAGGGTTTTTCTGCGCCCCTCCCTCCTCCATGGTCATCCTGCCGACCCCAACTCCTGGAGCCGCCCTGTGTATCAGCACAGAACTGTGCTCCAGCAGGTTTTCCAAGCTGGTTTTTCAGAAGTAGATTGCCAGGCCTTTCTCATGAGGTACCTCTGGGGGTTACCAGCAAAGTGCTTAACAATTCACCCAACCCAGAGGCTCTCTGGACAAAGTGAAGCTTCTTCCTTCCCATCTTTCTATCGTAAATTTAAGATCAATCCTTCATATGGTTTGGCAAGGAGTCTGAGAGCAACTCACCATTCCCTTAAATTAGCTACAGCCTTCTTGTAATAAAAAGAACAGAATGCACCACAGCACTGTTGTTGTTAGCCCCTGACTCATGGAGACTCAACGCATAGTGGGAATGGACTGTTGTAATTCATGCAGTTTTCATCTGATTTTGGTAGATTGCCAGGTCTTTCTTCCTAGTCTATCTTAGTCTGGAAGCTCCTCCAAGACTTGCTCAGCATCACAGCAACACGCAAGTCTCTATGGTCAGGCAGGTGGTGGCCGGACATGAAGTGCACTGATAGGGACTCGAACCTGGGTCTCTCGCACAGAAGGCAAGAATTCTATCCACCACCTCCATCTTGTTTATTGAGTACTTACATCAGGGCATCTCTGGGTATCACCTCAATGGCACCGTCCTGAATGAACTCAGAAGCATCTTGGTCAGAGCATTGTGGGGTGGCTCCTACTCTTGTCCCTAGCTACAGCACCGAGCAGGAAGGGCCTTGCTCAAAACCACACAGCAGTTGGATGTTCTGACTCCCACAGGTCTTCCCCTGTGGTGAACTGGGCCTGAAGTGCTCCTTCCTACCCTCATTTCTTCCCCAAATCTCTGGGTCTGTGTGTGGCCTCAGACCATGGCTTCATAGACCAGAGCAACCTGAGGAGGGGACCTGCTGTGAGGGAGCCCAGGAAAGGTGTGGCAGAGCCTGAGGTGGGTGTTCACAGAAAGAACAAGTCCTGGGGGCTGTGGGGTGTGGGTGCAGCCCTAGCCCAACAACTGTGGTGGGTGGGGCATGTGTGATGGTCAGTGGTAAGTATCCACTTGGCTCAACTGTGATTCTCAGTGGATTGGGACACTGGACTCCTCTGTAATGTGATATAATGTAATCATCTTCAATAATGTGTCTGGAGTGAGGAGCCAATCAGTTGGAAGGGGCATTTCCTAGGGGGTGTGGCCTGGATGTTCTGGCAAAGTTTGCTTGCTCTCTCTCTGGATCCTGCACTCTTCCTGTCACCTGACTTCCTGTTCCTAGAATACAAGCCTGCAGACTGCCACCCGACCCATAGATTTGGGACTTGCTGGCTTTTTCCTTGAATTAAATCTCTCTCCAATTGTGCATATACCCATGACACAGCTCCCTGTTTTTGTTCCTCTGGAAAACTTAGGTTGAACACCATGTTACTTGGTCCATCTGAGCCTCAATCTCAGTGTCTGTAAAGTGGGGGCTTGAAATGCATCTCTTGCTGGGTTGTGGAGAGGACCAGTTTGAGTGAAAAGTTGAAGTGATACAGAACCCAGTGCTGAGAACTGAGATGTGCTCATTGACTGACTTTATGCCCCAACTAAATCCAAACCCCACCCTCATCAGTTCAGACTCACGACGACCCTGCAGGATGGAACAGAACGTCTCCACAGGGTTTCCTAGGCTATCAACCTTGTTGGAGCCGACAGCCTCATCTTCCTCCCTCGGAGCAGCTGATGGGTTTGAACTGCTGACTTTTGGTTAGCATCTAAGTGCTTAACCAGTGCACCACCAGGACCCCTTATTTAGGAAATATAATTCTTCTCAACTAGGGTCACCATAAACCAGCACCAACTCAAAGGCGATAGGGGTGGAATTTGGGGGACCCAAGCATTGCTTGTCCTCTGAGGGATGTCATTCTCTTTTATAGGGTGCTCGTATCTACCTGAGCAGCAGGTGTGGGGCCGGGCCACGTGGCAGTGAGATGACAGTGAGCCAGCTCCATGCCCGCCCGCTGGTGTGTAATGACTGACTTGTCTCCTCTGTTTCTCCGAAGAGAAGGCCCCACCGCCCTGTTCCACCCCTACCCTGTCTTTGCTGTGGTCCCAGGTGAAGGCCTCACCTCTCTTCTCGGTGGTGATGACAGTGGCTTCCAGAGGTGCCCCCCAGCCCTGCCTCGTCTTGGCCGACAGCCGGAAGATGTAGGCCGACTCAGGGGTCAGCTGGGTGGCTGTGAACTGCCGCAGGGTAGCGCCGACCTCCACTGTGGTGAAGGTGTTGGGGCTGCTGGTGGCCAGGCGGTAGGCAATCTGGTAGCCTGTGGGGGTGAGGGGAGACAGAGAGGGGACACACAACTGCTTGGCCATCCAGAGGAAATGCCGTATGCCTACGAACCACCAGTTACCGCTGAGCCCATCCTGTCTCCTGGTGACCCTGTGTGTTATATGTAGAGTAGAATTGCTTCACAGTGTTTTCAAGACTGGGACCTTTCAGAAGCTGATTACCAGGCGTTTCTTCTGAGGTGCTTCTGGATGGGTTAACACCACCAATCTCCCTTTTTGCTTCCTGCCACGTGCCTGTCTTCTCCAGCCATGTCTGTGCTGTGAACCCACATGTAGTCATCTATCTGTGACCCTCAAGGGCAGACACAGCAGGTATTGAAAGGAAGATGACCCCTGGTGATGAATGAAGGGCCTGCTGTTAAGCCGATTCCACCTGTCATCCTTCATGGAAACAAAATGCACATTGTTTCATCTTCGTGCGGATGTGGGCATTTGATGACAGGACACATTGCTGCAGCCCGAAAGTAGGTCTCCTCGTCCTCCGCCCAGTCTGGAGGCCACCGCTGCCTTCTGCTGGGAGGTTCTTTAAGGGCTCTTGAGGCTGGGGTGCCACCTGGTTCCCCACCGGCCTGTCCTGCCTGCTCTCCACACTCCTTCCATGCTCATCTTCCCCATCTGCCTACAACTCACCCCTGGAGCTGCCATGGACGGCACAGGGCAGAGACTCCTTCCTGCCAGCCCAGCATCCTTGTCCCTCCCCTGATGGTGGGTCCCTTCTTGTGGAGATATCAGGGTGCTGCTTAGTTAGGCTCCGAAGGTCAGACACACAGTTCCTGTGGTTGATCAAGGAGTCCTGGGTGGTGCAGTGTTAAAGCACCCAGCAGCTAACCAAAGGGCTTCAGTGGAGCCAGATGAAGCAGTTGGCTTCTGCAGCAGTGTACTGTCTCAGAAGCCTCATGGGGTAGCTGTACTCTGCCCTGCTATTGTTAAGTGCTGCCAAGTTGGTTCCGACTCACAGCCACCCCGTCTAGTGATTCAGAAGAACAGCTGGTGGGTTTGAACCACTGACTTTATAGTTAGCAGTCCAGTGCTTATCCTACAGCTTCACACCAGGACTCTGCTCCGTCCTACGGGGTCTCTGTGACAATGGGTTTGGGGTTCAGTGGCTGATCAGACCTTTCTGTGCAGGTGTGGTCCATTTGGACTCCCAGGCAGTGTGGTGTCCGGCAGCTGAGCCTCTACACTCATTAAAGCAGAGCCGCTGGGGGGCTACAGGGTGCAAAGATTCATGACAGCTAAAGCACTCAAGTCAAACAGAGGCCAGAGGCCAGGATGGGAGGCAGGGGTTAGGGCTCTGCTACCCACGGGGCCACAGTCTCTTTGGTTCAGCACTGCCCACTGGGGACCTGTCCCGTCTTCTCTGGGGATACCCCTGGGGATCATTTCCTCCTTTCCAATTCCTAGCTCACTGGTGACCCCCAGCTCCTGCCCTTGTCACAGACCCAGCTACATCAGGAGCCTCGCTGGACGCCAGATCATCCTAGAGTGAATGCCTGTCCCAAGGGTGGCTAGTCATCACACAGTTGTGAGGGTTCCTATGCAGACAGGGACTGTCCACCCCTATTGGCTGCCCCATGAGGGCCCAGCACACCTCCTCTGTTACTATGGTACCACCATGCCCCTGTCCTCCCTCCCAGGGGCTGTGTGCCCCCATCATGGCACCCCACCCACTGGAAACAGGTCCCGTTCCATCTGCTGACAGTTCTGGTCACTGTCTCCATGCCCGCTGTTGCCTTTGCTCAGTTGGACATCCTTGTTCCTTTCTGAAAACTCTGAAGGCTCCATCATGTCTGTTGGTTGTTCAGTGCTCCTGTGTTTCTTTAAATGGCATTTACAAGCTCTGTGTGAATGATGATGGCTTTGATGGGATTCCCTTTCTAATTGCCTTCCACCTCTCCTGTCACGTGATTTTGGTCATATGATCACTTTTCTTTCTCCTAGCGTTTGCCTTTCCACCTTTAAATGCCCTTCTATATCAATAATTTGATTTAGCCACTCAGAACGATATCTGTGAGGTTCCACCACAGGTATGGAGGAGTCTTGGTGGCACTGTGGATTAGGTGTTGAGCTGATAACTATAAAGTTGGCAGTTCAAACCCAACCAGCCACTCCACAGGAGAGAGACAAAGCAAGGCAGTCTGCTCCCATAAAGATTTACAGTCTCAGGATCCCTAAACTGGATCACTATGAGTCAGAATAGAAGGACATGTAAATCCATGTCTCAATATTAACTCTAACCTTCCAACACACAGAGTGGATGGTGGGGTTGAACCTCCAACTTTGCAGTTAGCAACTCAATGCCTAACTCATGTGGGTTCCCAAACCAAACCAAACTGTCATAAGTAAATTCGGACTCACAGTGATCCTGTACAGGGTTGGTTTGTTGTTTAGTGCTGGCAAGTTGGTTCCAACTCAGAGCGACCCTCCATAGGGTTTCTGAGGAGCAGCTGGTGGTTTCAAACTGCTGACCTTAAAGTTCAAACCGACCTTGTGGTCCAGTGCTTACCTTAGAGGGCCACACCAGGAATCCATAGGGCTTATGAGGCTATAAATCTTTACGGGAGCAGACAGCTCATCTTTCTCCAGTAAGCGGGTGGTGGGTTTGATCTGCCGACCTTGAGATTAGCAGCCCAGTGCTTGCTGGGTAAATGCTGTATTTGCATTCTGACACTCGTGTCTCCCAGTAAACACCTGATGTGACAAGTCTGAACCTATGGGTCACATTCTGGCCACACCCCAGTCCCTAACAGCAAGCGACATTCTAGATGAGTAGACCCCCTTTTTCCCTCCTCACAGGTTTCTGTAGCTACTTACCAACAAGATCCAGTTCAAATCCACCTTCCACTCTGTGTACCACCCTGACTCCAGTAGGAATTGTTTCTGGATCATTTAATGGTATCTCTATCACATTAATGATTTTCTGCTATTCATAAGGTTTTCAGTGACTAAATATTTGGAAGTAGTTCATCGTTCCTTCTTCCTAGTCTGTCTTCGTCTGGAAGCTCATCTGAAACCTGTCCACCATGGGTGACCCTGCTGGTACTTAACATACCCATGGCATAGCTTCCAGAATCACAGCAACTGACAAGCCACCACAGTACGACAAACTGACAGAAGAGTGAATATATTCCACCTGAATTTAGAGATCATCTGAAGAACAGAGGTAATACATTAAACACTAAAGACCAAAGACCAGAAGAGTTGTGGGATGACATCAAGAACATCATAAATGCAGACATCAAAAAGTCATTAAGAAGACAAGAAAGAAGGAAAAGATCAAAATGGATGTCAGAAGAGACACTGAAACTTGCTCTCCAGCATAGAGATGTTAAGCAAATGGAAGAAATGAAGAAGTACAAGAGCTAAGCAGAAAATTTCATAGGTCAGCTTGAGAAGACAAAGTCAGATATTACAACAAAATTTGCAAAGATCTGGAGTCAGAAGCACAAGCTCAGCATTGCTCAAAATGGGGGACCTGAAGTAAAAATTCAAGCCTTGACTTTAATTATTGAAGGATTCCCTGGGCAAATTATTGAACGATGCAGAAAGCATCAAAAGAAGATGGAAGGAATACACAGAGATTCTGTACCAGAAGGAAATGCCGTTTCAAGAATATGATCAAGAGCCAATGATACTGAAGGAGGAAGTCCAAGGTACATTGAAGAAATTGGCAAAGAACAAGGCACTAGGAATTGATAGAATAAAAATTGAAATCTTTCAAGAAAGTGAGGCGGCACAGGAGGCACTCGCTCATCTTTGCCAAGAAATTTGGAAGACAACTATCTGGCCAACTGATTCGATAAGATCCGTATTTGTGCCCATTCCAAAGTGAGGTGACCCAACAGAATGCGGAAATCATCGGACAATCTCTTTGATATCCCATGTGAGTAAAGTTTTACTAAAGGCAATACAAAAGCAGCTGCAATCATACATTGACAGAGAACTTCCTGAGGTTCAACCTGAATTCAGAAGAGGACGTGGAATGAGGTATATTATTGCTGATGTCCAATGGATCTTGACTGAAAGCAGAGAACATCAGAAAGATGTTTACCTGTGCTTTATTGACTACACAAAGGCTTTCAATTGTGTGGATCGTGACAGCTATGGACAACATTGCGAAGTATGAGTATTCCGGAACAATTAATTGTGCTCATGAGGAATCTGTACCTGGACCAAAAAGCAGTTGTTCGAACAGAACACGGGAACACTAAATGGTTTAAAATTAAAAAAACGTGTGCGACAAGGTTGTATTCTTTCACCATACTTATTCAACTTGTATGCTGAGCAAATAATCTGAGAAGCTGGCTTACATGAAGAAAAACATGGCATCAGGATTAGAGGAAGACTCATTAACAACTTGCGATATGCAGATGATACAACCTTGCTTGCTGAAAGTGAAGAAAACTTAAAAAAATGTACTGATGAATATCAAAGAGCACAGCCTTCGGTATGGATTGCATCTCAATGTAAAGAAAACAAATATCCTCACCACTGGACCAATAAACAACATTCTTATCAAGGAGAAAAGATTGAAGTTGTCAAGGACATCGTTCTTCTTGGATCAACTATCAACACTCATGGAAACAGCAATCAAGAAATCAAACCATGTATTGCATTAGGCAAATCTGCTGCATAAGATCTTTTTAAAGTGTTGAAGAGCAAAGATGTCAGCTTGAGGACTAAGGTGCACCTGACCCAATTCATGATATTTTCAATAACCTCATATGGATGTGAAAACTGGACAGTGAATAAGGAAGACCGTAGAAGAATGGATGCTTTTGAGTTATGGTGTTGGAGGAGAATACTGAAAAGTGCCATGGCCTGCTAAAAGAACAAACAGTTCTGTGTTGGAAGAGGTGCAGCCAGAGTGCTCCTTGGAGGCCACGATGGCCAAACTTCGTCTCTCATACTTCGGACATATTGTAAGGAGGGACCAGTCACTGGAAAAGGATATCATGTTTGGTAAGGTGGAGGGTCAGAGAAAAAGAGGAAGACCCCAGAGAAATAGATTGGCAAAGTGACAGCATCTATGGGCTCCAGCATGGTAACAAGGTTGGCCCAGGACTGGGCAGCACTTCGTTCTGTTGTGCATAAGTACCAACATGATGACACCTAACAACAACAACTATCACATCAGGCTGAATTCTCATGTGTCACCTCCTTTATAGTCCTGAGTGTGAACCTAGCTTATCCACTCCATGGTTCCCATTATGCACTTGTACCCGGCACATAGAAATTCCTCCTTTTGTCTTGGCTAGTGGGAGAATAAATAAAGAACTTGATGTTTTAAAAGTATGATTTGCTGCCTTTGGGGTACTGGGAATAATAAGGTTTTTTTTTATCAGTTATTATTAAAGTTGCTCCTTCATAGGAAAAGTTGAAAGTCAGTAAATTCCTTCGGACCTAATGCATTGCAAACCAATTCAGTAATTTCTTAGTGGCATTAGGGGCCCAGTAGCAAAAGAAACATGTCCTGGCCCTCAGCAACAAAGCCAGGTGGGTGTTTTTGATAAAAAACTAACGTGTTCCTTTCTGAACACACATCATCAAAGTGGCCTGGTTATTTCAGAGCAGAATGGAAGACCAATTGTGAACGGTATTACTATAGACCTTAAACAAATGGGAGACCTTCCGGGGTTATAGACTGCAGGTTCCATTCCCCGAAGACTGTGGCACTGAGCTCAGACATATTTGTCTGCTGTGACATCTCCTTCGACGTAAACATGAAAGGAGGAAACGAGAAAAATCCACCCAAGTGTGGCTTCGCTCAGAGCAATCACCACTCTCCTTACCCAGAATCACGCCATTGGGCTCTTCCGGGGGCTGCCACACGATGCGCACCGATGTCAACCGCACTTCCGGGAAGACCAGTCTCACCGGTGGGCCTGGGGCTGATGGAGACAGATAGCCTTGGTCATCAAGTACCATGTCAGTGTGTTGAAGAGTAGGAACATGATGGTGACAGGGCGCTGTGAGCTAGCCCAGCTACCCACCATCTGCTGCACTCTATACTATCTCCTGTACTATAGGCCATACTGCCTCTTACCATAGCCTAGCTACTTAGTGTCTGCAACTCCACTAACTGTACCACCTACTGTATACCTACCATATACCACCTATCATACCACCTGCCATCTACCATACTGCTTACCACATACCATCTACCACAACCTGCCTACCATCTACCTTACCATTTGCCATCTGCCATTTACCACCTACCAGCTACCGTACCAACTACACACCACCTACCTGCCATCTACCTACAATTCCCAACTGTCTGTCATACAACCTACCTACCACAGCCCAGCTAACTACCACGGATGACAGTCTTTGCTGGTAAAACACTCTAGGTTAGGGGCAGATGACTTTTGGAATCTAACTGGTTCCATGCAGCTCCTTGCTGATTTTGAGGATCTCCTTATTTTTAATCCTGCCATCTGTTTTCCAAGTCAGAAAAGCAGCACTCAAAAACGACACTAGAAACTGTGAGAGAGATTGCATGAAACTAGCTTCCTGGTCAAAACAAAAAGACTCCACACACAGAATGTCTGCCACGTTGAAAGTAGAGATTTCACTCAGCTGAGCTCATACTCTTTTGACTGTGTATGACCTCTACAAAGGGAGATGGTTGAGAAAAAAGGTCTCGGCATTCCTCCCTCAAAATCAAAGTTATGAAGGTTGAAAAAAAAATCACATTTTTATATTCAGGCTTTTCTCTTATGCAGACCACCTCTCTCACACACTGTCATAGAAACCCATGCGTACCATAACCCTTCTGTGTCATCTCTCCTGGACCACTCCATAAGAGGATCACAGCTCTTGTACAGCATATTTACTCAAATGATTAGGCAAATAAGTGGTCAGTATCAGAACTTCTTGCTGGAACTTAATAACTGATTGATTACCAGGAAGGAGGCAGGGACCATTGGTCTATTAATACAAAATAAAATCATGTGTCTTATAGTTATTTGAGGGCTGTTGAAATCTGCCTCTAGCTAGTCACTGAGAACAGAATTTGAATTTCAGGTGTGTGATGATATCACTGAGTAAGGAGAGTCAAGGCAGGAAGGAGAGAAGCAGGGTCAGGAGCCAGGCCCTGTTCACAGATAAACTAACTCCCAGGTCAGACTTCCTCAGCATCGACTGACTGTATCTGCTTACCACCTGGTTATTAGATGACTATCATCTGGCTGTCACTAGTTAGCCTGGTAATTATATGACTTTCACCTGCTATATCTGGTTAGCACCTAGTTATTATATGACTATCACCTGGTTAGGAACTCTGGTAGCGTAGTGGTTACGGGTTGGGCTGCTCACCTCAAGGTCAGCAGTTCGAAACAAACAGTTGTTTCGAGAGAAAGATGAGGCTTTCTGCTTCTGTAAAGATTTACAGCCTCGGAAACCCTATACAGGGTCACTATAAGTAGGAACCGACTCCACCACCACCTGGTTACTGATTATCACCTAGCTATACCTGGTTATTATATAACTGTCACCTCGTTAGTCTGGCTATTACATAGCCATCACCTGGGTACCACTTGGCTGTCACCTGGCATCACTAAGGCCTGTCATTTGAATGACACTGAAAAGGGAGGAAATCACATTTCTATTAGGACTGTGAGAAACAGGAAAGAGTGATAAAAATTCTGACTTGCCCACACACGCTGTAGGAAGAAACTGTCATTGTGGACCTGGCTTGGAGGAACAGCTTTTCAAACACACCCCTTGAATTGTCATTTGTGAAGCCCAGAATGTGGTACAGCTCCAGACAGGTTTGCAACGAAGTCACCTACAGCCCCAGACCCCTCTCAGGGGCACCTGTCATCCCCAGGGTCGACAGCCAGAGAGTTAACATCACTGGCTACAATGTGTCATTGCTCATCGTCTAAGCTTGACGGCATACAGCAACAGCAACAAAACAACCAAGGAGCCTGGTGGCACAAGAGTTAAGCACTCGGCTGCTAAGTGTAAGGCTGGTGGTTCAGGTACACCCCAGCGGGTCTTCTGGAGAAAGACCTGGTGATTGGCCCCTACAAAGATGATACACTAGAAGATGGTGCACCTCTACCCCGTCACATGGGGTCACCGTGTGTCAAAATCCACTCACAAGCACCCAGCAGCGACAAGCAAGGCCCCAAGCAAACCACAGAGAGGGGAGTTTCAGTTTAGCCATGACAGCTATGTTTGGGGTGAATTTTCACACTTGTAGGATAACTGTTAGAGAAAACAGAAGAGTTGCTTCACTTTCCAATAGCTTGGGATCCCCGAAGCCTGGGGAGATGCTGCAGAGTCGACCCTATGTGCGTCAGAGCAGAAATGCACTCCGAAGGTTGTCAACATCTGATTTTCTGGAAGCAAACTGCCCGGTCTTTCTTCCCAGGCTCCTCTGGTTGGACTTGAACCGCTAAACTTTTGGTGCACAGCTGAGTGCATCAACTGCCCACACTACCAGGGAGGCCATTTTCCTAAATCCCCACAGTGGAATCTTTTGGAGGTAGGGGAGTTGATAAGCTTTCCCCTGATGCAGACCCCTTTAATAATGAAAATGTAAAGGAGCTAAGCTTTAAGTGTCTGATATCTGCAGATGGGGAGACATATTTGTTAACGACAGACGCTATGCATCCAAACAAAGCTGTTTAGAACACTTGCTAGTCCGGCCTTTGGACATGGGGGTCTGGGAGCCCTGTGAGTCTTCGTAAAAGGCATGAGTTCTGTGTGGCCTACTCGTTTTCCATTTCCTCCAATAATTCAAACGGTGAGGCTGGAGCCCCAGGAGGACCAAGGCTGTAGTCTGTGGTCCATGGCAGATTTTTTATATAAATTTGCTGACACAGATGGAGCAGACTCTCAGGCTATGACCCCAGCCCCCCAGGCCATGACTGTACCTCTGCCCCCTGCCCCCTGCAGGTAATGGCAGGTGTATAACTGGGAAAAGTAACAGTAGAATGGCTCCAGGGCGTTTTCTTGTCTGTGGTGGTGGTGCAATCATTAAGTGCTTAGTCACTAATCGGTAGTTGGAATCCACCAGCTGCTCCAGGGGAGAAACATGAGGCAGTGTGCTTCCATGAAGATCACAAGTTTGGAAGCACTAGGGGGCAGATCTACTCTGTCTTACTGGGTTGCCATGAGTCTGAACCAACACAGTGGCAATGGCTTGTTGTGTTAATCATCACAGAGGCAGATTGCCAGCCCTTTCATCCACAGCACCACTGAAGTGCACACCTTTAGGATAGCAGGTGATTGCAACTACGCTCATAATTAACTCACCCAGTGCTACTGAATCAGTTCTGACTCCTACCAACCCTCCTATCTATGTGGAGTTTCCGAGGCTGCAAATCTTTACCAGAGCAGAAAGCCTTATCTTTGTCCCTTGGAGTGGCTGGTGGTTTTGAATTGCCAACCTTGCGGCTTACCCTACAGCACTACACCAGGTCTCCTCTTAGGCTGTAAAATTTCAAAACTAAAATTGACCATATCAACGTTCAGTGACTGGAAAACAATTTTGTTTTGTTTTCAACTAAAACACAACAAAACAAGAAAAGATTTAAACATTCAGTAAAAAAGGGATAGCCACCCAAATTTTGGTATGGAAGAGCGGACCAGGCAGAGGGAAAGGGGGACTAGAAAGGGGGTGGTGAGCTTACCATCATCCTTGGTGCGCTCCAGGACGAGCGGCAAGCTGGGCACCCCGTTCCCAATGCGGGTGAAGGCCAATATCTGGAGCTCATAGACCACAAACTTGCGCAGCCCAGCCAGCAAGGCCGACTGTGTGTGGTTCCCCCGCACAACGTGACTCCTGGGCTCCGGGTCCAGGTCCTTGGCTCGGAACAGAATCTGTGGCATGGACACACGGTGTGGAGGTTAGGCTGGTATGAGACAGAAGTAGGAGGTGGGCGGGCCTGTGGCTGAGGGGCGGGATCCATCACATGTGCCAAGGATCAACTGATTTCTCCCTGGAGACAGCTGTGGATTATGGAGCTACCACATTTTATGCAAATAATGCGTGTGTTATACGGACATTTGGATGTTTTGAAAGCCACACCGTGAGCCTCCTGTGTGTGTCCTATGCATGTGCGTGTTATTTACGTGATTGTTTATATGAAAAAAGTAATCTCAACAAACAGAGAGATACAGACAGATACTCATTACCATAGAATCAACTTTGATTCAGAGGACAGAGTTTCCAAGACTGTAATCTTTGCAGAAAGGAGCCCTGGTGGTGCAGTGGGTTAAGTAGTGCTTGCTAACTGTACGTTCGGTGGTTTGCACCCTCCAGCAGTTCCTGTAAAGATTTACAGTCTCAGAAACCCCATGGAGGAGTTCTACTCTGTTCTGGAGGGTTGTGAGTCAGAATCGACTCGATGGTGGTGATCAACTTCCATAAAGTTGATCATCCCATCCTTTTCCCATGGAATAAAGGGTGGGTTCAAACTGACAACCTTTTGATCAGCAGCCCAATGCTCAACCCACTGTACCAGAAGAACTCCTCACATAGTTTCTTAGAGGATGGTGATGAGGCACTTGTACCCCAGAGAAAAAGGGGAGCTTGAGTTACAATCCTGCCCATGGCTTGGCATGTTGGCTGCCAATCCGTCAACTGCAAGATCTGAGGTCCCAGCTGTGGTCAGGCCAACATAACCTCTCAGTCAAGGGCTCCATTCTGAACTCTGGGAGATTCAGCTTCCTAGAAAAGAGCTGGCCAGCCCATGGCTTCCTAGGTTTCTTGGACCTGGGGTTCATGGCTCAAGACCTGCTGTTCTCCATATGAGCCGTGAGCTCCAGCCTCTGAGGATGAAGGGCTGGGGGCTAGGCTAGAAGCAGCCAGCCAAATGCTCTAGAGTCAGAGTATAACTGAGCTCCATAGGGTTTTTGGTGTCTGATTTGTTTGAAGTAGGTCATTAGGCCTAACCCCCAGACTGTAATGAGAATGTCACTTTGAGGACTAAGGTGATTCTGACCCAAGTCATGGTATTTTCAATAGCTTCATTGGCATGTGACAGCTGGACAATGAGTAAGGATGACCATACAAGAGTCAATGCATTTGAATTATGGTGCATGGAGAAAAATATTAAAAGTACCATCAACAGTCAAAAGAAAAACAAATCTGTGTTGGAAGCAGTATAGCAGAATGCTCCTTAAAAGCAAAGATGGTGAGATTTCATCTCTCAGACTTCGGACATATTACCAGGAGGGACCCGTCCCTGGAGAAGGACATCATGCTTGGTAAAGTGGAGGGTCAGCAAAAAGGAGGAAGAACCTCAACGAGATGGACTGACACAGTGGGCACAACAGTGGGCTCAAACATACAGCAATGATTGTGAGAATGGCACACGACTGGGCAGTGTTATGTTCTGCTGTACAAAGGGTCACTATGAGTTGGAACCCACTCGACGGCATCTAACAACAACAAGAAGCAGTATTAGATAGAATCGTTAATGCTAAACCAGGAAACTGGCCAATGGTGTGAGCTGTGAGGGACAAGTAGTCCACTAGTTAGAGGTGACATTGTAGCAATGCCTCCCAAGACGTGGCCCCTGAAGCGTATGTACCTTGTAGCCCAATATGAGTCCATTCTGGTCCTGTTCAGGCACGGAAGTCCAGGTCAGAAGGATCTGTGTAGAGCTGACGGCTTCGGCTGACACATTCCCGGGGGCGGCTGATGGCACTAATAGAACAAGAGTGTCATTGATGGGTGTCCGCATCTTCGACAAAGGTCCGATCTTTCCCCAGATAACTAAGCTGACCTTAGAACCCACAGCGTGTCCTGAATGCTCTGTTGTCCCATTAAAGTCCACACAAGGACAACAGACATACACATGTCTTAATATTAGCAATATATCTATAAGTCTGGGGTCTTTAGAAGCTCAATATGATCAGAAAATAGACCTAGTCTGTTCTTGTTATGAGGGGGCTTCAAAAAGTTGGTGGGAAAGCGGAACGAAAAGATGATGGAAATTTCTTATCAACTTTCTGAAGCACTGTGTCACATAGGGTTGCTCTGAGTCAGAATTCATCTGATGGCAGTGGTTGGGTTGGGTTTAATCGTATGAGGAAGGGTCCTGGTGGTGTAGCGGTTAAAGAGCTCCCATGCTAACTGAAAGGCTGGAGACAAATGAGGCAGTCTGCTTCGGTAAAGATTTACAGCCTCAGAAACCCTCCAGGGCAGTTCTACTCCCTCCTACGAGGTCACTGAGTCAGCCGACTGGGCGGCAGGGAGTGGGTTTTGGTATCATGTGACAGAGCGCTGGCACATGGTCCCATTCAGCCCTGCAGGCCGGTCCATCTGCAGATGAAGAGCAGAGGTTCTGAGTGTTCCATGCAGTGGAAGATTCACCTTTAGAACCAGGAGGTCTTCCCACTTCACACATAGCAGTGAGAAGCCCACAGGTGGGCTTAGGAGTCAGATTCAAGTCCATGTGAACTCTGACCTTCTACCTCGGGCCCCGGGGCTCTGGGAGCTGCCCTGGCTGGGCATCTGTGGCAGAGGGACACTCTGCCCACCTACGTTCTTACCCACTCTTGTGCCCGTGATCTTAGCAGGTGATCAACAGTGTCTGTTCTAGAGGACAGGGAAGGATGATCCTACCTAAATGGCAATCTCTATCCCGTGGGGATTCAGAGCGACCTTAAGTGACAGGGCAGAACTGCCCTGTGGGGTTTCCTAGATTGTCATCTTTGCAGAAGTAGACTGCTAGATCTTTCTTCTGCAGGGCCACTGGGTGATTTGGCTTATATGCAAATTATACACTGTTATTGTTAAGTGCCCCATCGACTCAGTTCCCACCCATAGCGACCCTATTTAGGATTTCCAAGGAGTGGCTAGTCAACTTGAACCGCTGACCTTGTAATTCAAATCAACTTTGCAGTCCTGTGCATTAACCCACGGCACCACACCAGGAGTCCATTATTAAATTATATGTGTTGTTGTTGTTATGTGCCGTGGAGTCAGTTCCGACTCATAGCAACCCTGTACAGAGTTTCTGAGGCTGTGAATCTTCACGGGAGCAGAAAGCTTCATCTTTCTCCCGCGGAACAGCTGGTAGTTTCGAACTGATGACCCTGAGGTTAGCAGCCTGATTCGTAACCACTATGCTACCACATATACGTATGTATACATATGGGGTCCTGGTGCGGCACTGTGGGTTAATGTGCCAGACTGCAAAGTTGATTCAAACTGCAAGGTAAGCGGTTCAAGCTCATCTGCTGCTCCTCAGAAACCCTATACAGGATTGCTATGGGTCAGAACCTACTCGATGGCATTTAACAACAACAACAAATGTATATATATACAAACATGAGAGTTCTGGTGTGGTGCTGTGGGATAAAGCACTGAACCACAAGGTCAGTTTGAACCACAAAGTCGACAGTTCAAACTCACCAGCCGTGCCTTGGAAACCCTACACAGGGTTGCTATGAGTAAGAACTGACTTGACAGCACTTAACAACAACAACATATATATACATACACACACACACACACACACACACACACACACATGATTGTTGAGTGTTGTAGAGTTGGTTCTCACTCACAGTAATCCGGTAAAGGGCTTCCAAGGCTGTAAATATTTGTGGGAGCAGAAAGTCTCATCTTTCTCCCACAGAGCAGTTGGTGGGATTGAATTGTCAACCCTGTGGTTCCCAGTCCAGTACTTATCCTACAGAGCCACTGTACTCTGTGAGAGAAAGAGAAGAAAGAAGAGTGTGTCCTGGTGTGGTGCTAAAGGATAAGCACTGGACTGCTCACCACAAGGACCACAGTTCAAACCTACCAGCCACTCCTTGGAGACCCTACACAGCCATCACTAGGAGTCGAAATTTTAATATATAAAACATTATGTTTTTATATATTATATGTTACTGTCGTTGTTAGGTGCCATTGAGTCTGTTGCAACTCCTAGCAACCCTGTACAGGATTTCTGAGAGCAGCTGGTGGGTTAGAACCGCCAACCTTGCGGTTAGTCGTTGTTAAATGCCTCAAGTCGGTTCTGACCTGGTGAACTTGAACTGTCAACCTTGAGGTTCAAACTGGCTTTGCAGTCCAGAGCAGTAACCCAGAATCTAGTGCTTATCCTGCCGTGCCACACCAGGGCTCAAACGGTAGAGGTACACAGATTTGCATGTGTGACTGCAGGAAAAACACTGGACTGCTAACTAGAAGGTTGGTGGCTCAAGCCCACTGCAGGAGAAAAATTAGAATTTCAATAAAAGGAGAATTTCAACAGCATCAGCAACAAACCTACAATTAAGGTGGCTTGATTTTCCAGCTTATTTAGAAAAAGGTGAGACCCTCAAATAAACTCTCCATTTTGATATTGGTGGAGCATTCTGGAAACTCTGTCCTGGGTAGAAAATGAGGGTCACTGTCAACCCAGCCAGCCCAGGTCTCAAATTCTTCACTGCTTCCTGTGGGTCTGTCTTTGAAATGCTAAAGTGCCCAATTCTCAATACAAATGACAGCTGGTTTTCTCTAAGAGTTGGCCATATGGGCATCTATGTGTTTCAGGAAGGAGCTCTGGTGGCACAGTGGCTAAAGCGCTCAACTGCTAACTAACTAAAAGGTCAGTGGTTTGGACCCACCAGCTACTCTGAGGGAAAAAGATGAGGCTCTCTGCTTCTGAAAAGATTTACAGCCTAGGAAGCTGTACACAGTAGTTCTGCTCTGTCCTATGGTCTGCAGTAGTTAAAGCATTCAGCTGCTAACAAAAAAGCTGGCCGCTCCGAGGGAGAAAGATGTGGCAGTCTGCCTCTATAAAGATTTGCAGGCTTTGAAACCCTATGGGACAGTTCTCGGTCTTGTGAATCAGCTACAGCAGTGGGTTTATTTGCTGCAGGGACCATTCATGCCCCCAAAGAACCAGGACAACGGATCATGGCAACAACGATGACCCAGTGCTTCTGAACCTGGCTGATGTTTAAGGAGAGATAAGACCAGGACTGTTTTCTGTTAAACATCCAAACTCATGCAAATCCCATCAGGAAACAATGTGCCATCAAGTTACACAGTATTGATGTTTTTAAGATCTGAATAAAGACAAACTCTGATGTGTCCTCTATTTTGCTGGCAATTCAATATTTTCTGCAGCCTGACATCCTAAATTCTCAGAACTAAATTCCCCTTCCACTGAAAACAAAACCATTTGCGAGGTCCTTATTCTCTCTCTCCAGTCGCTCCACCACAGGTCCCTCCCTAATCCGTTCGTCGAGGCTCCTCATGTGTTTCTCTTGATTTTTAAGGCCTCAGTTCACCTTATAATTGATCATAATCCACTAAGAGATACCAGCAAGCCAGTCAAACTGCACTAGAAAACTGTAAACTTCACTTAGATGTCCCCCTTCGCGTTTCCATCGCTGGTTTTCAGTATTTCTTTGGGTACCATTGTTAAGAATTGTGGAGTCACTGGTAGCTTCGAACTGCTGGCCTTCTGGTTAGAGCTTAACCACTGCATCACCAGGATACCTTAAGATGTCATTCATATATCATCCAATTCACCCTTTTGAAGTGCACACTTTAATGCATTTTTAGCAATTTTAGAAGCTCTGGTGACACTGTAGGTTTGGCATTGGGATGTTAATTAAGTACAAGGTTGGCGGTTCAAACCCAGCAGCCACTGCCTGCTGTCTTAAACATTTGCAGTTTCAGAACCCCTTGAGACCATCTCAAGAGCAGATTCGATGCATTCATTAGATGCAAATGATGAAAGACCTGAAGAGTTGTGGGATGACATCAAGAACATCATACATGAGGAAAGCAAAATTTCATTAAAAAGACAGGAAAGAAAGAACAGTAGATGTCAGAAGAGACTCAGAAACTTGTTCTTGAACATAGAGAAGCTAAAGTAAATGGAATACATGAGGAGGAAGTAAAAGAACTGAGAGAAGACAAAGTCAAGTATTATATTGAAATGTGTACAGACCTGTAGTTAGAAAACCAAAAGGAAAGAATACGCTCAGCATTTCTTAAGATGAAAGGCTGAAGAAAAAAATCAAGCCTTGATTTGCAAAATTGAAAGATTCTATGGGCAAAATGTGGAAGATGCTGCTGCTGCTGCTACTTTTTCCAATCCATGGGCCTCTGTCTAGGGTTTCTGAGGCTATATATCTATATGGGGGGGCAGAAAGTCTCATCTTTCTCCCACAGAGCAGCTGGTAGACTAAAACGGCTGACCTTGCAGTGAGTAACCCAAGGCGTAATCCACCATGCTACCAGGGCTCCTTACTGATGATGTAGGAAGTATCAGAAGATTGAAGGAATATACAGTCAGTGCACCAATAAAGAAATGGTCGATGTTCAACCATTTTTCAAGAGGTAGCATATGATAAAGAACCAATGGTACTGAGGAAAGAAGCTAAACTGCACTGAAGATATTGGTGAAAAACAAGGCTCCAAGAATTGATGGAATACAAATTGAAATCTTTCAACAAACTAATGACACACTGGAGGCACTCACTCATCTATGTCAAGAAATTTGCAAGAGTTCCATATCTGTACCCATACCAAAGAAAGGTAATCAAACAGAATGCAGAATTCATTGAATAACATCAATAATATCAGTCACAAGTATAATTTTGCTGAAGATAATTCAAAACTGGTTGTGGCAGTACATTGACAAGGAGCTGCTAGAAATTCAAGACGGATTCAGAGAGGATGCGGAATGAGGGATA